AGTGATAATTGTTCTTATTTTAGGTATTTATCCGTTTTTGTGAAATTCTTATTAGGTACCTATTTATGTTAATACGCCTATCTACTTCAACATATCTTACAATTTCATGAGATGTGGCTTGTCCAATCGTTTTGGAAATTGTGCGGTCTGTTCAATATCGATCTAACTTATAATAAATTCCAAAACATGTACTCGATATTCTTGATTGTCACATGCATTTACAATTTTATTACCGCGTCGAATGCATTATGTAAATTAGACCATTGGTGTGATGTTTTTTCGACGGCCATGATCGGGATGTACACTAGAGTGTTGGCGTTCACCACTCTCATGTCGAGGATAACCATAATGGTTCAATCAAAAGACAGTTTACATAAGTACAAAGAAACTATAAAAGCTTTCGAAATGTATTCGCCGACGTCATCTACGCAACATAAGAATTACAAGATATTTTCGTTCACCGTCGTTTTCGTATGTCTGAGTATAATTTTACCGATAAACGTAAGTCGGTTGTATTATTTGTACCAAAACGAGTCCTCCGACATATCATTATTCATTTACTATCTGTTCATATACATTCAAAATCTTAGCATGTGTTGTATAGAAACGCAATTTGTCACCCAGTGTTTTATAATCTACACCAGATTCCAAGGAATTAACGATGATTTGAAAAAACTACGGAACGAAAACATTAACTACACTAAATACCCGTTCATATTGGGCTCGTCGGCAACTATGTGGAAAGATTATAAAAAATCGTTGCAGTGCGTCAGGTATGACAAGGACTTTTATCAGCCGCAGCTAATTAGTCATCCGATGGCGAATGCTGTGGAGATACTCAGAATTAAGCATTGGCTGACTCGTCAAGCGGTGGACATCCTCAATAACTTGTTAGGTATCCAGATGGGACTGTCAGTGTTATTATTGTGGGTAATGGCCTTGTTTGATATTTATTATGAGATATTTCGCAACTCCCCGTCGAAGTTATTGGTCTACGGTTGGTTATTTCAATACTCTCTGAGATTGTTTATGATTACCTTAATAGCGCACTACACAACGAAACAGGTAGGCAATAACTAATAACTAATTGCCAATATAAGTATAAATGTACCACCTAAATGTTCTAATTAGGTACTGTTTGAGTTGTATAAGATACCATTAAATATTTAATTATCTATATCAAATAACTTTTAGTGTATTTATGTAGGTATATAAATCTATCGTAGGCGTGCGCTGATTTCTTTTTCAAGGTATGCAGAATTTTAACACTACACCCCCTTAACATTATTTTAAACTTTGAGATTCTAGTAGAAAAATATACATAAATATTTAGTAATTTATTATAAATATTATTACTTATAATTATAAACAATGGTTTAATTTAAAAAATTATGCTGTCTTAGTGTCTCTTAATCAATAAATCTTTACCTTTCTTATTTTTTGTGGGTACTTAAAGAGTAAAGACAAAAAGTTTTACCACAGAATAAATTTTATATTTTATTGTCAAACGTTTATCGAATATTAGTGTCCTCTGAGGCGAAACCTAGCACGGTAGTACGTACTGCACTTCTGCCTACTGCATATGAGCTGGTAGACAGGGACGTATATGTCGTACATAGAAAAAAGTTTTGGGGGTTGTTTTTGAAAATCAGTTATTAAAAAATAAAACTTTTTTTTTAATAAATATAGGAAATACATAATAGGTATACCTAATAGAAAGTATGCCAATAATACATAATAAGCATAATTTTATTTTATTTATAAATCCTGTTTAAGTATTTTCATTTTTTTTGTCATATTAGGTATACCAAAATTTTAATTTGTTAGTATTAAATTTTTATTTTGATTTAGCTGATTTTTCACAAACACGATTTAATATTATACCTGTCTAAAAGTATAATATAACGATTAACATTAAAATTGAATAAGTAAATAATCATACAAATAACCAAATATTTTGGGGGATGTTCAAACTCCCAAAACACTCCTCTGTGTACGTCCCTGTTGGTAGGTAATTGGTATGTCCTATACTCATTTATACATATATTATTGTAAGTTATACTATTAATAGATTTTAATAAATAAATATACAATTAAATCATCGAGCATTAAAAGCATAAAGATTTTACTTATTTTTGCTATTTCCGAAAGGATAACTGCATTCAGATTATGCAAAATAGCAGCTGCAGTATCTGCAGCTACTCTCTAATACCTTGCGCACGCCCAATAACACCTATCCGTAAAATTTCGAATTTTACTGAACAATTAAGTAAATATATAAATATATAACTATAAATAGGTATTGCCATATATATATGTTGTATTTACATATTATATAATAATATATTTTAGGCAATAAAATCAAAATCAATCATTTTAGATACAAATAATCAAATGTTGGATAATAGTACAAAGGAAGAGGTAATAATTACCATATGATATATCTTATAATTATAATTTATAATAATGCCTCATATATATATAGTGTTTTCACTGGTTTAAATTATTTTAGTTGTCGTTGTTTGTGAATCAAATAAGCCATCAGTCAATCGAATTTACCGCATGTGATTTTTTTTACTTTGAATACACAAATTATAAAATCGGTAAGTGTAAATAATACATAAAATTATTATATCTAAATAAAACAATACTCTTCTTAAAAACAAAGATAGATACATGGCAGTTTATTTTTTTTAGTATTAACATTGATTATAAATTATTGTTATTATTTTTAGTAGTAGTACCTATTTAAAATCTATATAATAATGACAATATTTTGGCTCAAGTATTTTTTTTCATAATAATTGCATTTAATATTTAATTAATTATATTCTTATTTTAAATATTAATCAAATACGTATAGACAAAATTTAAAAATCGTCTACTTAAACTACACGTTTACACTACCATATTAGTTTTATTTAAGAATTTTTTCAACACATCCATAACATACATAATATTATTATGAAATATATAACTAGTTTTGTAATGTCAATAATAACCTAAACTTATGTTAGCGAAATTTTATTCGTATAAAAAAATGTTGATTTTTATTTTTTAAACAAACTTAAACATTTAAAAAAAAAAATTAAGTTTTACAAATTCTGGAAGTAATCCAACAATTATCAATAAGTTAAGTATATCGCAACAAATTCGTTGGATATACAAATATTTCATAAAATATCTGTATGTTATGGTTGTACTGCTATAACTATATAATTATATGTGTGTATACTTACACCGTTGTTTTTTTACTTATTTATAAAATGTGATATTAATGCGATATGTTGATATCCGAATTCCATTTACATCGTTTCAGGTCTTTGATAATAATTTTTAAAAAATTACTAAACTTCATCAGTAATTAAACAATTTTAAATATTATTTTTACAATTAATTATTGTTACCTACTTTTTTTATACTTTATAATTCAACTATTCAATTATCAGTTTTCTTAATATATCACATTCAATGTGTAAATAAAATAAAACAATTCTTAATAATTAAAGACTTAATAACATTGCAGACTCCATAACTTTTCATCCCAACTTTGGCACATTTAAAGTTCCCAGATATCATCTTAGCTAAATGTAAAGTACGTAAGAGAAAATGTTACTGTAAACTGCTTAACGATATATTTTTTATTTTTATATTTTAAAAACGAATAAAATGAAAGGGTCTTACGGCTTCTTGCATATATTAATTCACTGTGTTATTCACTTATCACATATATTTTTATTATGTACAGATTTTAAAGGATATCTTTTTAAAATAAAAACGAATAATTAATTATTAATTAACGTGTTTTTTTATATACATATATATAGGCTATAGCTGCTGGTACAACCTATTTGGTAATATTAGTACAATTTCATTCATAAAAAATAGTAAATTATATATTTACCTCTTAAGAAGATTTTGGCTACTTTTAAGTCTTACTCGTAAGTAAATTTAATTTTATTAATTAGTTTAAATCGGAATATAAATATAATTATTATTTACTATTATGTATTTATTTTTTTTTATTTAAGTATATGATTTTTCATTATAATATCAATAATATACGAAAAGTTAAAGTCTCTTATTATTTCAATTTTATACCTATATGGTTATACATTTTGAACTATAAACATTAATATTTTTAATACCTATACCCATTAATTATAGGTATACACTTAACTACTTAAGTTTAACGACTAAACTTTGTTTTTAATTTATAGTAATATAAATTTGATATCTCTGCGCAAAATTGTTTTCGTGCAAATTGATGACTCATTGAATTCAAATTTAACACATCCATTACGGTAACCCATTCAACACAGTAGGTACTGCTATAGCCTATAGGTACAGCTATATTGTGCCAACTTTTTCACCTTTTTTTTCTTCAAATAAATATGTTTATTTATAATAGTACCTATTATTACGTTGATATAAAATCGCTAAAATAAAATGTTCAACGCTCATTGCAATATAATATCACTTGAGAAAATAATTATGTATAATAATAAGTCAATAAATTGTCAAGTCGATATGTTACTCTATTATATTATTATCATGTGAGCACTCGAATATCGTTAGGATTAATTTGAAAATACAATACGAAAACGTAATTTAAGTACCAAACGTCAAATCGAGTAGATGTATAATTTATGTTTTTGCAACTTAATAAAGTATTCTTCGCTTTTTGGTAAAGGGCATAGGCACCGAAAGGTCGGAATATAGGTAGGTAGGTACCTATGTATATAAGTTGAATTGAAGTTAATGAAACGAAACAATATTAAATTCCACGAAGCCTCAATCAAATTGGACACCTCTGACCAAACGCAAGTATACTTGCGGTTATATATATTAAATTATTGGCATTTGCCATATCGTTACATAACATAACCTGCAGTTATATAATATAAAGGACGAGAATATTGGCACACCAATAATTATCGGGGCCGCATATTATACATATAACATAGGTGTTTCGAAAGTCGTCCGCCATAACAATAATAATGATGATAAATAATAATAATAATAGTAATAAATTGTTGGCTTATCGGCCGATCGTGTTGTTTTGGAGGACGTTCGGCGTGTTCCCGGTAAACACGCTGGACGAAAACCGGAAAAGTGACGCGTCACTGCCGATACTGTCCACGCTTCTGCTGTTGGCGTCGTGCGTGTACGTGCTGTTCGTCGGGCCGGCGGTCGTCTGCCGGTTCGGCGATAAGTGCAGCAACCAGTCGATCAGAGTTCTGAAGGATATGTACCCGAAAATAGTGAACGTGACGTCGATGCTGTCGAGGATCGCGCTGTCGTACTCGGTGACGGCGAGGTTCGACAAGTACAGGGAGACGATGGGGTGCTACGAGACGTACTCGCCGACGACGGTGGCCGAGGTCGGCCGGTACCGCGTGTTCACGGCCGCGGCCGTGTCCGCGTGCCTGCTGCTGGTCCTGCCGGTCAACGTGCTGCGGTTGTGCATGCTGTGGACGCCGGACGGCCGCGATCCGGCGCCGATGCAGGGGATCGCCTTCTACGCGTTCATCTACGTCCAAAACGTGACCATGTGCTGTTCGGAGACGCAGTTCGCCGAACAGTGTTTCGCGCTGTACAGCAAGATCAAGGCCGTCAACGACGACGTCGCCGTGCTGGGCAGGTCCGCTGGGCTGGCGCGTTCTCCGAGACGCTCGGGACGCGGTAACGCCGCCGGGACTGCACCCGATGCGCCCGCGGGCGGCGTCGCGGCCGCGGTCGACGCCGTCGAGTCGCTGCGCATCAGACACTGGCTGCTGCGCGAAGCCATCGGCTGTCTGAACCACATATTCGGCGTGCAGCTGGGCATGTCGGTGTGCGCGCTGTGCGTGATGACGTTTTTCGACATCTATTACGAGACGTTCCACGTGATGGGCAAATACGCCATGTCCGACCTCATCTTCTACTGCTGGATGCTGCACTACGCAGTGCGGTACGTGGGCATAATCCTGATGTCGCATTACACCACGAAACAGGTATAGGCTGCACTCGCGGTCCGCGCCGTTCACGTGCAGTTATTAATTGTTATATTCCTTTAAAACGCGATTTGTCTTAGGTTCACGGCCATGCGTCCTATTGTATATTAGTATGTGCGTTTTTGTATCTTAGTATAGGTGGGATAAAAGCGCAAAAATAAATATTGCGCCCGTTACACTGTAAGTTTCGTTTTAAAATTATTAACTATCAAATTAAATTGTTCATTTTAATTAAATACGTAGTATTTTTATAATTCAAAAATACATCAACAGCGATCGAGTTTTACGATTGTACGACAAAGGTATAGTAAAACCCATTACGCGTGGCCAAGAACAACTACTCGGGCTGTACACTATTCTACAGTAGTCCGAGCTATAAGTAACTAAATTTTGACACTGTAAAAAGGAAAACATTGAACATCATTTTAAATTGTTATCGTTTTTTTTTTTTTTATATATATATATCACTGATACAAAAAAAGTTCTTATTGTTTCAAAATCCATTAATTTTGGAATCGAATAACTTTTTTTTGTAATTCTGATATCGAAAAAATGTAAATACGATGTTGTCAAAGTTCTCCTCTTTTTTAGTGTGAAAATTTGATTGTTTAACTTAAGTTACAGCCTGAGTGATTCTTACTCACGTGAAACGGTTTTCACTTTGTCTAATGTTTGTAAGACGGTGACACCGCATGCGGTTGCGGTTAAAGTGTAGTCTTAAGAGGATATCAGCATTATATTATTTGTTTAATGATTTTTCTCTCTATTTGGTACACGTGAAATTTTTGATATTTACGTTCAACAGAATCAATTTTATTTTGTTTTTGTTGGCTTTAGTATTAGAGTAGGAAATTGTAATTGTAAGAACACAGATAATGTTCTAAATTTTAAGTTTGATGATAGTTAATTCATTCTAATACTAATAATAAGTGAATAAAACAAGGTTGGTTTTGCTGAACGCCTACAATTTACTATATAATGTGCATCAGCGCATGGATCTGTAGATAGAGGAATATATAGTGTATTATCACATTCTTTTAATGGATAGTCATTACAAAAATTAAATAGAATATGAAAAAAACATTTTCAAACTTAATTGTCTTCAACTTTATAGATAAATGTGTGACAGAATGTGATTTGGTGTCTGACCCGGTTACCCTGGTATGTTATATACTATTAAGGTATTGAGTGATTTCTAGTTTTTATAATAATTGTATGCACATATTTTTTACGAAAATATAATATTTAGGTATAATTTATAAATATCAATGGACTTCCTGCAGCAATGTTTCTATACATTTATACCCGTTATAGAGTATAGGCTTTTGCCTTTACTTCTATAGGTATCTAATTTATATAAGTACTAACTAATAATAAATAATAATTTTATGTTTCAGGCTATTTATACTAAGACACTTATAGCAAACTTAAAAAGTAATTGCTTGGATTACAGTATAAATCAAGAAGTAAATTTATTTTTATATTACGAAGATTAGGTATTTGTTTTGTATTTAATTTAGAATTAAATTAAATACTTTAGATTCTAAATGAAGTAATGGATGTGTTGAATTTGAAATGAAATATTTAAAAAAAAACAACATTTTCTTATGTTTATTCTCAAATTTTAAGGCAGTATAAAAGCTTCGATTTTTTTCATTTTGACTATAAATTTGACTTTTTCGTACTTTAAAAGGGTTAAAATATAAAAATTCAAAAAATTGCAAATCTCCTTTGTCCCGGATTAGAATTAACATTTCAACGATATATTTTACCTTAAAATTAATATAAATTATAAATTTATCACTTTTTTATGCAGCTACATTTGTTTTTGGACCAGCTTTCTCATAGTTCTGTCGAATTCACAGCATGCGATGTATTTACATTAAATATACGACTCATAATTTCAGTAAGTTTAATATTTATTCGTAGAAATTATACGTATTGTTTTATTAACTAATACATAAATTATTTTTATTTATTTATATATTATGTATATGTATATGTGTGTATACATAAACAATCTAGTTAATTCTACTTTTATGTTTTATTTTGTTGTTTAAAGACTTTTGCTGCGGGTTTAACTTATCTTGTCATTTTGATACAATATCAGACAAACATAAAAAACTCCACATAGTGCAACTATATAAACTTGGTACCATTGACTGATGATTGATTATAGACAGTGTAAAATATTAAATTCTTTTATAATTTTTTTTTTTTTAATTTAATTTAATGATGTATTATGTTAACAAATAGTAAGTATATTAAGTATATCATTATATATAACTGTAATTTAGATACTTATTAACTATACTATATATAACTGTAAGCCGTTACAATAATAATTTTAAAATCAACAAACTATCATTTAAAATAAAATATAAACATATTATTTATAGTTAGTTATAGTTGTATTTAAGTAATCTAGAATCTAGATAATAGTCATTAACCCGGAATGGCTGGAATTTTAAATCGTCCTAAATTATTATATAGAATAGTATAAGTTTTAGATTTTGTGTCTAAAAAATTATTAATCAAACCAAATATTAGGTATATTGTATAGTTATGTTTGTTTATAAAAGTTGATTGTTTAGTTAAGTGAGAGAATTATTGATATTGGTATTTACATTTTTAAATATCTACCTTGAAATAAAGAAATTTATCTTTTCTTGAAAACATAAGGCAAAATCATTGTATCAAAATTATTATTTTTTTAAATTTTATATTTAACAAACTACTTATCTATAAGAAAAACGAATATTTTAAAATCATAAGTCTTACGTAGTAACTATCTAGCTATATATTATATAAATATATAATATCTATTATTATAAATAGGAAATTTAATGATTATTTTGGAATGTTTTCAACTGACTTTTTGATTGATTATACTTACAAAAATACAGATAAAACTTTAGGTCCAAATAACTTTTAAAAAGACTTCGCTTTAGGAATTAATTTAGTTAGGTTTAAGCAGACCGTTGTCATGACAACACTATACGATGAATGTATTGATATCACAATTTATTAATATAATGTACCTTTAAAATTCGATTTTGATTATAATATTATATATATATAAATAAAATAATAAATGAAACCGATGGAAATCGTAATTTTAAAAAATAGAAATATAATTTCGATTCCTGAATCTCTTATTCTAGAAATAGGTTGTTTTGTTAGAGTGAGTATATTATCTAATATAACAATGTATCTGTTATGTATACTTACTGTTTGTATTTCAATTAATTGATACTATGATTTATATGATAACTAATAGTATTTATATTTGGACAATAACATCATACGAACATTACCCGACGAATTATTTACTGGCTGTACAAATCTTATGTGGTTAGATTTAAGATGCAACAGAATACGTCGATTGCCAGACGGAATCCAGGGTCATAAAAATTTACAGGTGTTGCTTCTGGGCAAAAATGATATAAAGCGATTGCCTTTAACGCTAGGTATGTAAATAATTATATAGTTGATATTATTAATAATATTTATGAATTTTCTATATAATTTTTAAGTACCTATTTACACAATCTATCATGCTCAGCACCATTTTTTCCTTTAATAATAAATTAATTTCTGATTTTTGGAATTTTTAAATATACACAAAAAAATATTATCATTTCTTAAATTGTACTACTTAGGAGTGTCCTGTGACGATATGAACTTCTATTTTTTAAATTAAGTATCTTTTTTACTGTTAATTATTTATTACTTTAGTGGATCATTTTTAAAAGAATGTTGATGTACTTAACTAAAAATTTGAACTAGAAGATTCTCGGTAGTTAAAATTTTTATATTAATAATGATAGTTCTTAAAAATGGTTTTGTCAAATAATAAATTATATATAGTATTGGATTTGGTATAAAATTTATTAAACTTGCACCATTTTAATAGACTATTAAAGTTGATAAATTGATATGAATTCTATAATTTTCAAATCACCATAGCCCCCATATTTTCCAAATCCATTATTATAAAACTATAATATTCTTAGTGTATAAAATTTTAATAACTCAAAAATTACTTGGTTTAGATTTTAATTCAAATACATCAACATTTTCAAAAAAGATTATCGGTTAAATAATTTACAGTAGAAAAGGGGAGATTTTATTTGAAAAACACAAGTTTACATATCCATAAAATACTCTTTAAGCAGTATAAAAAATGGTGTAATTACGATATTGTACAATTAAAATTACAAAAATTGGATTTTTAATAACTTTGTTTATTAAATCAAAGGGCGAGAGCATACTTAGTTATTATCTTTGTATACTACATTACTACTTAATTATAGACGATTTTCTGCGGAAAATATTTAAGTGTAGACAAGTATAGACAGTCGTAACTCGTAAGTATATGTATTTTCCAACCAATTTTGTACTTCTTTAAAAAAAAATTTTCATAGGTACTTTTTAGTGTATATATAACAGTTTATTTAATTAGTTTTAGTTATTTTTGTTAGTTTTTACCTAGTATTTATAATTTTATTTCTTAAAAGAACAATATAGCATTGCAAATAGATATATAGATGCATTCTATGTAAGTTTTATTTTCATCACTAATTACCAATTTGAATTACATTACAATTTCATTAAAATAGATAATACGCTTATTAATTATTATAATACGAGTATATATATATATATATAAATGCATTACATTATACTGTTAGAATATTACATATTGTATCGGGTGTAAATATTGCTTATTAGGGTCATTACCAAAACTTCGAGAATTAAACGTTGCTGGAAATCCACTTGATTGCTTTACAAGAGATATGATGAAAAAAGGTTCTAAATACTTAATACGCTTTTTACAAGAAAAATGGAAAAGTGATCAAAATATTACAGAATCGATGCAACAAAATGATGATGAATTAAACGATGTAAACGCAATAAAAAAAATAGATGACAAGATACTTAAAAAAAACAAAAAAAACAAAAAAACTGTAATTATAACTTAAAATAATTAAATATCTATCTATTGCTTTCTCCTATTTTAATGTGGATTGTATTAAAATTGTTTAGATGGATACGTCAAAAATGCAGTTGATGGAAAGATATAGTTGGCCAATGATATTTCTTACCAATTGGTATTTATACTATTATTTACACTTATTTATCATTTTTAATCACTGTAATGTATAATAATATAATACATTAATATTCAATATAATATGTAAATCTCCAGTTGGTAAATTTAAGGTTTTAAACTGCCAAGTTTATATTTTAAGCAATGAGTAGTCTCGTCGTTTAACTAACTGAGACCCATGCGTGAAATTAAAATATTTACTTTGATTTACTGATAGATACAACAATAATGTATACACGTATTTTGGTTAACTATAATAGATATTCCTACTAACCCTACTTTGATATGCTGGCGTTTTTTGAAAGGGTAATTTTCTTCTAAGTTCTCTTCTTTCTAAATTTAAAAAGCCGAGAAGCAGATATTATGAGGTTTAAAACAACTGAGTGAATTGATTCATGTAAAGATACACAACGTACTGCTAAAACTTTCAGTTTGATGCACTATGCACTAATATGATTTAATAAATTAATGAATAACTTACTTAATTAAATTTTTGTTATATTTACATATTATGCAATTTAGGAGCAGTGACCGTTTAGTTACCGATCGAGATATTAGAATGAAAGAATTAGAAAGACTTTATTTAGAAAAACAAAAAGTAATATTAGAAAAACAAGAACGAATTTTACAATCCTACAAGTAAGTTTAGTTGTTTCGTTAATTTATTAATTGAATAATTAAGGGTTCTGGGTCAATCGACCGACAACCATTCGACCGACAGGATAATCGACCGACAACCGAAATACCGACAAGATAATCAACCGACAGGGTCAATCGACCGACAATAATATATGTTGTAGTGATGGACAACGATCAATGATATATATTTGACATCGATATCGATTTACAATTTTATTCGATATATTACGATATCGTAATGATTAAATTTAAATCATTATTTTTAGTCTTTACTAGAAACAAGTGCCAATTTTCAACATTTTCGGCAATATTTACTATTATAATATTTGGATGTCTTGAGCCATACTTAAAATATATTACATACTTTTTTAAATTAATTATGGGATGGATCATTGAAGATCGCGCATTTGTCATAGAGGAGCAATCTCCAAGGCGTTTAGCAGTTAAACATTCAGCTGCCTTGGAACTTTCTGATAGGAGTGAAAGAAAAATTCTGCACAGAGATCTTCATATGTACCCATACTAACTGATGATTACACAAGAACTAAGTGAGAGAGATTTTGAAGCCCCTATCAGAAAGTTCCAAGGCAGCTGAATATTTAACTGCTGAACGCCTTAGAGATTTCTGGATAGATGCCCTCACACGTGTCACATTTTCCGGTGTTATTATGGTCAAAGGTCGGCCAGACTATTTTTTTCTTCAGTGAAAAACCCTTTGCTCTGAAGTTGGACACCCAAACGAGCATTTTTTTTCTATCTGGGACAAAGTCATGTCGGTCAAGTTGGAAACGAATGCGAAATGCTCGCCGAGTAGAAATCGCAGAACCACCATTACGAATATACTCCTCTACAACAAATGCGCAATTTTCAATGACCCACACCATTACGCCTACTAAAAATGGCATATACACAGCTATTGATCGATATCCCCCCCCCCCATAGTTGTAGCACTACCACAACTCACACAGCACAATCTCTAAATAAGGGAGGTTTTTTGCCAAACCCAATATTAATATTTTTAATTATTTATATTTTATTTTAGGTAGGTACCTAATTTTTTTTAGAAATTTTTCAAAATAATGTATCAATAATGGCTTATAAATTAGATTTTTTTTATATGTACATACTATATTATACCTACTACCTATATAATTTAAAATTTAAAAACTTAAAAGCTATTTATTTTATAAAACTAGGTTTTTTTTATATTCCTTCTGGCAATCTGGCGATACTTACATAACTACTTAATAATAATTTAATTTAATTTTTTTATTTTCAAATCTGAAGATTGAAAATATAAAAATACTGACATTATGAAACAATATCTACGAGTAACTTCTAAGTTAAATTATAGATAAAAATTATTATTTATGTGATATTATATATCTACATATTTTGTTTAAAGTCAGTTTCTCACAATTAGTGGTTTAGTTATAGGCTTGCAGGTAGCCAGCATACATGTTATGGGAATGACGAGTAATAGCCGTAAGCTTAGATAATTATAGGTATATACAATCAGTGCTACTACTAAAATGTTAGCGACTTCAAACACAGATAAACAGGGCTCGGATTTTAAAGCATTTGAAAATTATTATAGTTTATATATAAAAAAAAACAGAGTGAACTATAAGTTTGTTTTGTGCACTAGGGACTCCAAAAATGAAATTTTATACTGCAATATTTTTTGCATACTTGAAGTATTTTAGGATTTTAGTGTAATTTTTTGATAATTTGCATAATATAACTTTAATTTTGTATTTTCGTAAATCTAGCTTATATTATATGGTGTGAAGAGAATAAGAAAAAGTTTATTATTTATTTTAATTTACTTTATTTGAATCCATGGGAAAAATACGCAAGTTTTCGTTCATATTAAGGTATATTTTTAAGTGGTCCGGTTGATATTTACATATTTTAGTTTAAAATATTATGTTGTATATTTGTACGTAATTCAACGTCATTCAGTTCTTTCTATCGTTTAATATTCGATTGTGTATAATTTGTTTTCCTGTTTCGTTATTTAACGTAAATTGCCGAAAGATAGTATCTATCGCACTATTCGAGACTAGGATATTTTGTATTTAAGTTTTTCGAATAACGTAAGTATTCTGTTTTGTAAATTGTGAGAGGGTTAAGTTATAATAGTAATAAAAAATTTAACGTTACACAACACATAAAAACGGATATACATGTCAAAATCATTAAACAAGAGCGAAATAAAATTGAAAAAAAAACACCAGCTACAAACAAAATATCAAGCTCCACACTTAACAGACACACATCAAAACATACTTAACCAAAACTTCTGTTTATGAATTATAATATAATATTTTTAAGTTTTTAAATGTTTAGAGATGAAGAAACGCTGAAAATATGGAGAGAAAAAGCAAAACAATTGCAATATTTCGAAAATTTGCCCAAGTTAAAAAACTGTTAGTACCTCGTAGTTGTTTATATATTTGTAACCTAATTTAATTAGTAATAGAAGTATTAATACATACCTAATTATTTTATTGTATTTAGATCAAGGACTTGAGGTACCATTTGGAGTAAATAAAGAATTTTCTAAAATGATATCTAGACAAACGTATCGAAAAGTAATTATTTAATTATTAAATTAAATTTATATGTTAAATCACGTGGACCGTTTAGCACCCTAGGAAATTTATCATGCAAATATTTATTTTATGACATATTCAATGATCACTTGGATCTATAAAACAATTATATTATAGCATATGGTATTAAAAAGGTTTTTAAAAAACTAGAAATAGGTTTATTTAATTTAATAAGTACTAAGTAGGTATATATTTTTATTAATACAAATTATTACTTTAATAATATTGTACCTACTTATTGGTTTTAGTCCAGTCCTGGTTAAATTTATGATATAAATTGATGAGTAGATTTTTTTAACCATAAATTCTAATAACAGTTATTCTAAGTTAGTTTATTTTAATTAAAAAAATGTATTTGTTTTTTATAAATTTAATTTCATACTAATTTTAATATTGAAGTAATAGTATTTTCTTTGTTAGCATTTAAAGTTAAGTTGAATGGTATACGTTATGATGGATGGTGGATAAAATATAACAATAGGTAGTGGTAAAATATGTGACAATTTAACCATCTATATAACCGATACAATAGATAAATTATAGCTTATTTTGCAAAAATATTTGTGTAAATGGTGTAAAAAGTAAAGTTATCAACTCAATATTTACGATTTAAAACTAAAATTATAATTATTTTTAGAATATTGCATTTTTTTCATAATGATAAATTATTTTTAGGAATGTGTGGAAAATATTAAGTATAAAAATGCTGAAAAACCTGCTATAGTTAAACCGTATGTATCTTATATTATATTATATTATTATTGTTTATTTTAAATTTCATTTTGAGCTATTTTTGAACTCAAAAGTAAATTAGTTGGTCACCCATTAAAAGTATTATTAATGCAAAAGTCAATTGTACAATTTTTATAAAAAAATAAATGTCCAGAATCATGGAAGAATTTGTAAATTAAAATTTTGATAAAATATATCTCACGTTTATTTATTTGATTTAAAATTTCAAGGTTTGATTTTGACTTGGAAATGTCAGATATTTACAAAATGCTTATAAGTTTAACATCAAGTGAAGCAGAAAATACAAACAGTGATAAAAAGAATAATTCTAAAATATCAAATATTGATTGGGAAATTCAAAAGGTTTGAAAATTACACTGTTCTATAATATATATTATATTCTATCTATTTTACAACATTTATCTTTGTAATAATTTACTAATGCTATTGAATATATTTTCTATTGCCAGTTACATGATATTCAAAAAAGAATTGCTCATTTGAAAACACGCATGATTTAATCAATAAGAGACAAAAATGATAACTTGGATACCTATTAAAATTCAAAGAATTTAAACTGATCATAAATTAAAACGGAAGAGAAAGATGTTTAACCCAAAACTTGAAAAATATAAGCTCTTAAGAATTGAACATTTGTCAATTCTTGTTAGGCTCAATTACCAACTATGCAGTGTTTAAATACCAATTGAATATCACTTGAATTAAATCAATTCACTATAAGCACACTTTATTTTTATAACAATAATTAAAGCATTAATTATTTTATTATTTTATAATCAAAATATATTCTTACTATTTATATTGTATTGAATTTACTAGATATTTTCATTACTATTGATTTTAGAATATGTGTAATACACATTATTATTATTAAATAAATGAAAATTTATATTTTTCACACCAATAACTAATATCATTGATTATAGAAATGACTATTCTATAATCAATGCTAATACTGTATTTTTTGTTATACTTTTAAAATATTTGAAACAAGGTTATAATTTAACCTTGAGTATTTTACTTTTCAATTATTTCATTAATATAAGTGTTATGGTTGAATAAAAATACATTTTAAAGTCATCCGCTTATTTTAAACTTAATTTGTAAGTCTGTCATATATTAAAAATACTTAAGTTTATGTAAAGATACAAGTATTAACTATTATATACATACTGAAAAATAATTATTTCAATGTGAATTAGATAATACATTTAACTAGATATGTTAATGTAAAATCTTCATTATCTCACTTTCTTATCATACATATATATTTTTAATAATTAATTATTATGAGTACTTTTGTATAAAACAAGATATTAATGGTACTTAATGTTATGCTTTATAACTATTACAATAATACATATTTGAATAAATATAGATAAACACAATAATATTTGTGTGAATGATTTTATTATAATTCAAATTAATATATATATAAAAAATATTTTTAATAGAAGACTTGCAATTAAGTGATTTTTATTATGTACTGTATTTTTGAAATATTAATTGAAATTAAAAATGTATTTATATGGAAATTTAAAAAGCAAACAAGAGATCGATTCAGTTTTATTTAATTGTATTATCTTATTTTATTCCAGTATCTAATCCTGATCAGCAATAATCGACTTCTTAGTTTCAGCTGTTACTATTCTTTAACCAATCCACAAACTCGTCTAACATAACAGGCCCTATAAAAAAATATAAACATTTTTAAAATTTAACATATAAAACACTATTGTAATTCTGACAAAAAAAATTGAAATGAACAGTCTATTTGTCTAAAGTTTATTCAAAATAATTTTGTTAAACTTTTATTTAAAAAAAAAATACCTAGTGTAGATTTATATTCTGTGAAATTTAAACCAAATAAATATTATAATATAATAGATATATGTGATTTATTATAGGGTTTTTACTAAATTGTATTGTTTTATAAAACATTATATTTATTGCTAAGTAAAAATATTTTTATAAAACTTACAAGCTCCATCTATGTCATAATTTGCCAAATCTGTAGAGATAGATCGAGAAAATTCTAATATATTGCACCATTGATCTTTATTGATAACTCTATACTTGGATTGATCTATAAATTTAGCAAATAAAGGGTAAAGTTTCCATTGTTTCCCAAGTAATAAATTTAACATTAATTTTGCAGTTTCTATGTCCATACTTCGTTGATCTTTATCCTAAAAATAAAAATAAATCATCTATTATTGTTTTATTTAAATTAAAAACAGTGCAACTTCAATAGTCTAAATAAGTTATATATTAGGAGACTTAAGTTAAAAAAAAAAAATAACAATAAATTAATTTTTATCATAACAATTTTATAGATTTTATAGTTTGCATATGTATGAATAGATGAAATAATACTATAACAAATATTATTATTATAAGATATTAAAGTTAAACTTACTCTTGCAAAATCATATGCATATCTATAAATACTTTTGAAAGTTAATGGATCATTCACACACAACCTCAAAGATTCTAATTTACTTTGAAGTTTTTTAACTGAATCACACCTGCAATTAAAATATATCTTATTAATGAATAATTACATAAGTAATATTCGTTTTAAATTTATATAAATTAAAATATTTACTGTAATTCTGTAAGACCCTTTAACCATTCAGCACTAGAAAAATATCCCATTGATTTAGCATTCATTTTCCAAGCCAAAACAAGCATAACTAAATCTTCTGGATCAACCCCAATATCCATACAAAATTTTTCCATACCTTCAGGACCTAAAAGTAATTTAAATATATAAGTAATTTAAAAGATTTAAAAATTAATTGTACTTTTATTTTATAAATACCTAGTTCGCCTGCATCATTTGTATATTTATGATACCATGAAAGACATTTTTTACTATTAAAAACCATCATTTCTTCAAGATGAGTTCTTTGTGCACTGAAAAATAAAACACATTGCTTAAATTTAAAATATACTACAGGTAGTTTATAATTAATGTAAGTATCAATTTATACTAACCTAGTATAACGACGTTTTGGAACCGAAGCATTTTCAGCTGTATTTATTTCAGTTGTGCTACGTCGTTTCCTTGCCATAATTTAGATAATACTTAACTTAATTTTTATATCTAAAAAAGTAAACAACTCATTTCAAATAAATATTATATCTTATCAAAATATAGGAGATTGAATCATATAGATTGTAAACAATTATTGTTATGTAGACAGGAAGTTAACATTTTTTACAATTGTGATGGAGCAATTTATAAACAAGGAATAAAATAAAAATACTTGCCATAATTTACAAGTGAAATATTTCAAATTCTCATATTGATTGTTGCTGCCTAGCAGTTATAATATTTTTAACTACGCGTTTAGATTTCCTACGACTTTTTTGTCGATATTGGAAATAACTACCAAATTAACTAATTTAACACCATATAAAAATGTTAACGAATACTTACGAGAAAAATTTACTGTTATCTATTGTAAGGTGTCGTAGCGTATTTAAGTAGGATTACACTGCTGTAGGCCTAGGTACGACGATCAGGAACTCGGGGATTTGATGTTTTATTTCGGGAACAATCGACAATATTCTCAGTTATCATCAAAATGTTACAAATAGGATTTGAGTGATTTGACTAGTTTCATATAGTATATTATATTAAATATAAATAAATGTTGCTATAAATTGATATTATTATAAATTTTATCTCATGCCAGTTTTTTTTTTAATTTACAATTTAAAGTTATCTTTTGCTGTATAATCAAGTATTAAATGTAAAACGTAAATATTATCTAATTAGTAACACAGAAAAGATTAAATGTACTATGCAGCAGATTATTTTGCTATTATACGCTGTATGCCTGTATGTTGAAATTCAATACATTTTAGAAAAAGGTAAGATAAACTGGCGAGTGGCGACAATTCTTGACCAATAATATACCACTAACCAAGATCAAACAAGGGTTATAGATAATATATTATCAAATGCACATCCTGGGCATAGTACCATAAATAATATGTTTATGATACTATGAATAGTATAAATAAAATTGGTTTACGTACCACAAAAATATTATAGAAAGATAATATAATATATTCTTCTACGATTATCAATAAACCATAATCTATCTAATGTATATCTATAATCGTAATTCGTAATTTTTTTTAACTTTATAAACGGTATTCACATATTTACCTTATATCTGTGGCAGAGTGCGTTAAATTCGCCGTTATCATTTATATTTATACCATGGTATAAAAAAAAGGGAATTATTATTTTATGTATATACTATATAGATATTTGTATAATATCTATAGTCAATAGTCATGTATCATTTATTAATTTAACAGTTTAATCGGTTTATATTCAATTTTCAAACTTATTAATCGATCGTTGATGCTGATCATGATTTTTAGATTTTAAGAGGATCAATCTTCCAATAATACCCATGTATACACGATTTTTTATGATAAAAATGTTTTAATTTTTTTTTAATTGGAAAATTAATCTAGTATTAGTTTAATTGTTCTGATTGAAGGTTAACATTAAAAATTCAATACTTATCAAAATAATTGGAAATAACAAAAACAAAAATATAGAGTAAAATGGAAATTTATATGTTTAATTAATTTTTGATAAAATAGATTTTCTTACTTAGCTATAATTTGAAAATTTAAAATTGTTGGTACATAATTTTTTTTCACCAAATTTTAATCTAAGAATTTTCTATAGATAGGTACATGATCAAATTTTAAAAACATTTTGACTTTACTTTTCAGCTTATATAGATACTTGTTTCTCGTCACCTTTTTTCAATAAAAGTGCTTCTACCGACTACATTTATTGTTGATAGTGGTTTCTTACATTTATTCGTTTGTCGTTACTTTGGATTTTGAGTGATTAATAGTAAAAACAATGTACAGTATTTTTCAAAAAAAATGTATGTAAAATATACTTTTTACGCAAGACTTCTAACTAGGTTTTGGCTAACGACTTTGTTTTTATAATGTCAATTAAAAATAAGTAAAATTCCGTACAGATTAAATATTTTTAAGGGATATTAATCTTAGCATTTTCTAGGCATGAAATAATTTTCAAAATATTTTAGCTTTTTTATTATTTATAAGCAGGTGGTTGGTACCATTATTCGATTTTTGTATCATACAATTTTTGTTTTTGGTTAAAAAAGATTCCACATAATATGTTGTTTCTATCACCATTAGAAAATTTCTTAAATATAAAAAGTTCAATTTTTTTAAAAGTGTTTGAAGCTTAGCCTTTGACAAAAATTATCAAAACCACGAGTTTGCAAATTATTTTGTAGTTAGTGGCACACGTGTCGTATGATATCTACAAAAAGAATCATCTATATAAATCTATAATCTCAGAGCAAAAATTTGAATCTGAATAGGAATTTTCATTATCATCAGGTCTATGATCACCAAACCATAATCTGCCTCTATTGTACTTTGGTTTGCCTTGGAAAAAAGACTCGGCATTCGTCAATCTGTACGAAGTACCTATTCTTTACCTTGCATTTTTTCTCAATATTTAAGCTGTTCGACAATAACGTCTCGACAAAAATTATACCTATCTGAGACTATGTGATATTCTCTAACACTGGTAGATTACCAGTCATTTTTCTGTTTGCATATTTATTAATTGATTCATCCAGCACTAAACTTAATCCGCTATTATTTTTCTACTTCTATCGATATATGTAATAAATGGATTTTCTTTACGAATGGATTGCCATGTTTGATAACCCTTTTTTTAGGCATCGTAAATATTTTGTTACAATAACATCTCAAATAAATTCTGAAATACTGAATGTCAATTAGAACTGTATAATCCTATACCTATTACCTATACAAACGTCGATACTCGATACCGTCAATACGAACTATGGTAGATAACGTAATTAATTGTAGATAGCATACAACACCAAAAATTTGTTCGTAGATAGCGTAATATGACACGTGTGTATGTCCACAACTAAAATTTATTAAAAACATATTTTTTTCATATATTTTTAAAGTTAAAAATGTCCATAAAATTAGAATATATTCATACAAAAATAATTATTTTTTTGAGTTGAGGTTTTTATGTATACTATTAATATTCATACTTTTATATACACAATTAAATTTTAATAATTTTATGATATTGTGTGTATGTATTATACTATTATGTAAAGAGTTAAAACCGTTAAAATTTTAAGTTTGTGTGTCAACTGTCAATAGTTCCTAATTTGATATTTTATCATTTAAAGCGGCAATCGCGGTTTTAGAAGATTAGAAGATATCTATCTCTATTCTCTAATCTTCATGATATCTATCTTCTAAAACCGAAATGGTGATTGTAAATTGATAACAATGATAAACGGCATAATGACGTCATAAATAGTGATACATTTTTCCTGCTATTCGTTGGTGTGTTTGGAAACTGATGCGGCGAAGCGCTAGCGTAGGCAGTGTCGCCCGAAATCATAATTTCAACTTTCGCGTATACCTATTACCTACTGGCTACTACCTAATAAAATAAATAATAATATATGCTACCGAGTACCGAACTTATCGAAGTAGCACGTCTCGCTCGCAGACCCTTTACCCAGTTACATTCTGTATGTTGTCTAAGTAAGTTTTGTTTGATAAAATTCAGTGACCAAAATGCATTTACGCGGTCAACAACAATTCTTTTGAACTCACGAACTTGGTTTTTGTTTAATTATTGTCATATTAACTAAAACTATTATTATTATAAAATTGGTAGATCGTCGTGTATGTTGTTTGACACAAGAATAATATAAAAATAAGTGATTTCGGTTTATTTTTCTATCCAAAACATGTCTCAAATGAAGGTAAGCTATGATTATATTTTTTATTAAATTTAATATGCCACGATTGATTTTACTACTCATTGAAAAAAATATGTGTTAATAAAAATGTATTTGATGATTAAAGTTTGCCTAATTTTAGTTTGGATTGAAATTTTATTTATCTGTTTTAATAACTTATTTTTAATGTACAAAAAAAAAATAATTAATAGATTAACTCTCATGTAGGGCGAATTGACCTAACAATAACTTTGATGAAATCGCCATGATCATTTTTCATAAGTTCCTGTGTTAATATTTTCAAGGTAGCCATGCCAAAGTATTTTTCCACCTAAAATTACATTTGTAACAGTTATTAGAATTCTATAGGCATAGAAATGAATTTAAACTGTAAGGTTTGAATACCCTACATGGTGTAATTGAAAAAGTATACTGTAGGGTTATTAAATCATAGATTGCGACAGTAATAAGTCTGATAATTTTAATGTGACAGTATACCTGTTAATGCTTTTCATGCTTGGTTTCTTAACAAATCTTGTATAACTTTAATATAATATTAAACTTAAAGTATTTTAATAATTTTAAAATTAAATTTCTATTATTTTAGATTGATAAAACTATAGTGCGGTTTGAAGAAAAATGGCCAGAAATGAGACCCATTGTAATCAAACTTTTACAACAAGAACCAGTGACTCAAAATGAATGGCAAGATTTATTTTATGCAGTTCATCTTGTATGTCTTTGGGATGAACAAGGACCACTAAAAATGAAACAATTTCTAAAAACTGACATAATGGAATTTATAAAAAAAGCTCAACAAGTAAAATATTTTAAAACAATCCAGATATTAAATTATAATTTGATTTCCTTTTTTGTTTGATTAAAATTAAACACATTTAAAAAATTATAATAACTTTTATTTTGAACATTTTAATACTACCTAATTTAATTTTTGTTATTAATTTTATTTTGTATTTGCATATTATTTAGAGAGTTATGGCCCATCAAGAAGACCAAGCTCTACTTAAAGCTTATATCAGTGAGTGGAGAAAGTTTTTCACTCAGTGTAACTATCTTCCAACTCCTTTTAGACAATTGGAAAATTCTCTTACTGGTAAACTAGCAATCGGTATAAAAAAATGCAATGCTGATAAAGATTCTGTTGTCCGAAAGGTAAAATATATACTTATTTCATATAGTATAATAAGAGTAAACATTTTGTTTATTTTCTTATGTGTAGATTTAACATGTTACACAACAGGCACACAAGGGAAAATTATTTCCCCCCAAATTTATGGAAAATGATGAAGTCTATTTATATTGAATAAAAGTGGGTTTTGTCTATAAGAAAGATAAATAAATTTATTTTTAATCTTACCCCTATGCATATTACAAGAAAAATCAATATCAACTTGTCTTATTATTATTAATAAATTTAAAAAATACTTACAATTTTAATTAAAAATAATTAATATGAATAAAAGATAAAAATTTAATAAAGACAGTTTAAAAATGTATCTGGCGATGATTATCTAAAATACTCATAACTACTTTGTCTGTAACAATTGTTACCGCAAAGTGATTGTTACCAATATTATAAAGACTAAAAACTTATTTAAGAAATTTTATTAGATAAGACTAGTTAGTCTTACCAGTTGATGGGATTGGTTTTACAAATATTTATAAAAATGATGACATTGATATTGAAGAAATTATTAAATGGTTTGCAGCACTACTTTAAAAATTAGATTTTGTGTTTTAAAAATAAATCTTTATATTTCCTAAAAATTAATATTTTAAAACATTGAAGTTTTTAATAAAAAAATAAATAATCATACAGTTGAAATTATGTAAATTTCTTATTATATATGTAGAAAATGCATAACCTTAAGGTTTAAACTCTCTTAAAGTATTTTTTGTGTTTAAGTCTGCTATTCGATATTTTTTAATTACTACATAATAATAATAATAAATTGTTAAAAATAATATAACTATTTAAAAAAATTTATTATATAATATTAATTTTATCATATTTAATATTTGTTTTTATTTAGTTGATGTTGGACAGCTGGAATCAAAGTATTTTTAATGATATAAAACAGAGACTTCAAGATTCAGCTATGAAACTTGTTTACTTAGAGCGAAATGGAGAGGCATTCGACTCTCAATTAGTTATAGGTGTAAGAGAATCATATGGTGGGTATGCATACAATTTTGTTTTAATTCATTTTCTGTATCAATTATTCTTAATAACATACATTTTTAAAAATAAAATTACTGTTTTAGTTAATTTATGCTCAAATTATGATGATAAACTTCAAATATATAGAGATTATTTTGAGCGAGCATATATTGAAACAACTGAAGCATTTTATAAAGCAAAAGCCCCTGAATATTTAGAGATTCATGGTGTTCAAAATTATATGCGATATGCTGATTTGAAACTTCGGGAAGAAGAAGTTCGTGCTCAAAAATATTTAGAAACCAATAGTGGTTCTGTCCAAATGGTAAAGTATAATTTTATTAAAATTTAAGTCAATATTATTGTTGATTTATGATTTAAAATAATATTTATTTTTAGTTGACAGATTGTTGTGTTATGGTTTTGGTTTCTAATTTTCGCCATACTATTTTAGCTGAATGTACAGATATGATTAAAAGCAACGATACTGAAAGTAAGTTAAAAACAAATAATCTCAATTTGCTCTTATTTTATTTCATTTTTTATTTTTATTTTAGAATTAACACTTTTATTCAAACTAATGGACCGAGTACCTGATGGAATTTTAAAAATGTTAAAAGATTTAGAAGATTATATTGTAAGTGCGGGTTTAGCAGACATGATGGCATCAGCAGACATTATAACTCAGGTTAAAATAGTGTTTTCATTAGAAAAGTCAATAGCTATAATCATATGAACATTATTGCATACTAAATATTTTAATTCATTGGGTTATAGGATTCAGAAAAGTATGTGGAACAACTTCTTTTATTGTTTCATAAATTTAGTAATTTAGTACAAGAAGCATTTAATGACGATCCAAGGTTTTTAACTGCTAGAGATAAAGCATACAAACAAGTAGTTAATGATACTACTGTGTTTCGATTAGAACTACCTACAAAACAAGTTAGTATTTAATATTATACAACAGTAATTTTTAATCTAAGAATTGAAACCATCTTAGAGGATTGCCAATACTAGTTTTAACTATGAATGTTTATAAGAATAATATTTATAAGTGTGATTAAAAATTTAAAATCTTTGAAGTTATAACTTTAAAAAAAGTTAACGATTACTTTTAAATTTTTATATATTTAAATTAAGTAGTAAATTTAAAAATATCAAATAAATATTTTATTTGTTTTGTTTTTGCTAGTTGGAATTGTACTTCTTATTTATAATGATTAGTGTTAAATACCACTAAATACTTCAGCCCAATCACTTTAGATGGAATTGTAGTTTGCTTTTTAAGTGACTTTTTTTCATGGATTTGGAAATTTTTATTCCATGAATTAAAATAATAATTTTTTTAAATTTTATTAAATGTTTGACATTTCTGTGATTTTATTCTAAATATTATTTTACACATAATTGAATTATAAAATTTAAAATGTGAAGTTAAAAATAAAGTTATACGTGTTATAACCAGCATTAGTAAACATGCAAGATTTTGAATGTGCATTTGTTTGTTTTTGATAATATTAACAATATTTAATACTATCAAAATATTAATAAAACTGAAAATAATTCGATAACTTTTAGAAATATATTATAACAACACTATAGTCTATTCGGAATGAGATCGTACCTCGGCGACGGTCAGATGCCACCACAAAATTTTCCCACCACGAAAGCTCGTAAGGCTAGCGCTGTGGAACAAAGCCACGCCCATGCGCAGAAATTGGCCGCCGAGGTACGATCTCATTCCGAATAGACTATAGTTATAATGAAATACCAAACATGGTTTGGTTGTCAGCTTTGATTGAAAGTAAAGTTTTGATATAAAATTTAATAAAGAGTTCTTTAATTTTTAGTTTAAATAATAATGGATTATTTTACAAGCAGTTGTTAAATAAGTGGTTGTTTATTAATGCTTAACTAATTTTCTAGAATTCTGCTGTTAAGTGTCAGCCTGAATCAAAATGTCCAGAATTATTAGCCAACTATTGTGATATGTTATTAAGAAAAACTCCTTTAAGTAAAAGGTTAACTGCTGATGAGATTGAAAGTAAATTGAAAGATGTGGTATGTATGAAATATAAACTACTTTTGGTTTTATTCACTGCTCATTAATAATATTCTTATTATTTTTAGCTACTTGTATTAAAATATGTTCAAAATAAAGATGTTTTTATGAGGTTTCACAAAGCACATTTAACTCGTAGATTAATATTAGACACTTCTGCCGATTCTGAAAAAGAAGAAAATATGGTTGAATGGTACAATTTATTAAATAATACTTCGGATCTTTATATTTAAACTATATTTTATGCTTATATTTTTGTACAGGTTAAGGGAAGTTGGTATGCCTGCTGATTATGTAAATAAACTAGCTAGAATGTTCCAAGATATAAAAGTTAGTGAAGATTTAAATCAACAGTTTAAAGAAACCTATAGAAATCTTAAAGGAAGTATTGCAGGTAATTAATTTGTATTGAATAAAAGATAATATTTTTAGAATAAACAAAATATAGTACAACATGTAATGTGAATATAAATAACTCTCAAGTAACAAAATTATCCAGTTTGTTACATAGAGTACAAAGACAGTTTATAATTTAATTCACACTTATGCTCAGATACTACACTGTTAATTAATTTAAATTCAGTTCAACCCTTACTATCTGATCCCTTAACCTTTTCTAGGTGTTAGAAATAAGATTGATTTAATTTTTTCATAAAATTGATTAATAAGAATAATGAAAGATAATGTATTTATGCAATGGCCAATATAAATAAAAATTCTTTTACTGAGATATACCATCACTCTAGAACAGCAATTTTCAAATTATGGTGCGTGTACACAAAATGTTCAAAAGTGGTACGTGAACAAAAATGCATATACTTGCTAATCTAATGTAATAACTCGAACGTCAAAAGGTTGAAAATTATTGTTCTAGAACACAAGTTCTGTAAACCTCTATTGGTATTGTTAAATTTACGTTTTTTGGTAGTAGATTCCCTTCACCTATAATTTAGAGCTATCATCAAACGTGTGGTTATAATTATTTTTTAAAAGATTATAAAATTGTTAGCATTTTTATAAAGTCAGTTGATAGGACAAAGTCAAAAGTTGTCCCTCCTGAAATGATAATTGAGTTTCTTGGAAATAATTTCACCATCATCATGTAGCCTCACAACTCTGTTAGATTTTTGGCTACCACTGTCACCGATCTCCAATAACTACAACCCTGGATTCTTTCTTCTTAATCTGTTACTTCTAGTCTAGTCTCTCTAGATCTTGACAGACTCTATTCATCCATCGTTTCTTGGATCTGCCTCTGGTTCTTCTGTATGTTTGTATTCAATTGACGACCTAACTTCATTTGTCTCATCTCATAATCTGTTCTCATTATATGACCAAATCACTGAATTCGCTGACCCTTCGTGTTACTTGTTATATTAGTTACTTGGTTATTTCCCTTATTTCCACACTTTTTCTTCTATGCCATCTATTTATTGCGGTATCGAATACTGGCCGACATATTGTTCTTAGTAATTTATTCTCGAAGCTTCTTAGCTTTTGTTCAATTTGCACTATTATCGGCCATACTTCACATTTATGTTGTTTTATACTCATGTATAGACATACTTTATTCCACTAGAGAGTTTGACTTAAAATATTTGATTAGTGCAAAACAAATCCTTTTCGCTTTAAGTAAGCGACTGGTTATTTCAGCATTCCTGTCGTTACCAGTTATTGTTACTTCTAAATACTTTAAGCTCTGGGCTTTTTCGAACACATTTTTGTCTACCATGAGGTCTTCTTCACTTCCACCTGCCAACGTTTCCATTATTTTTGTTTTCTCATCATTTATTTCAAGGCTAATCTTTTTAACTTCATGTATGAGTGTTTTCGTGTTCCGCACTATCATTTCCTTATTTTCTCCCACTAAGTTCAAATCGTCTGCAAATCCCAACACATCAAGCGTAGTTTTTCCAATATTAATTCCTAGTTTATTACTTTGTACACTACGTATCACTTTCTCTAATGCTATGTTGAACAATATTGGTGGTAGTGAATCACCTTGTTTGAGCCCAGTCATTACTTCGGATTCTTCCTAGACTGTACAGTCCACTCTAACTTGGTATTTGGTTCTATTTATACACACTTTTGTCAGTGATATGAGTTTTTTAGAAAACCAAACTCAAACATTATATAGACTATCGCGATGGATGCTATCGTAGGCTTTCTTAAAATCCACAAACACTTGCCATATGTTTTGTCTGTACTCTTACTTTTTAATAAGTTGTTCAATAGTTGCGAGGATTTTAGTCATCCTAATAATTCTTTGGAGAATACTTTATATGCCATGTTCAATAACGATATTCCTCTATAATTATTGCAGCTTATCTTATCTCCTTATATAATGGGATGACTATAGCTTTGCTCCATTCTTCAGGTAGTTTTTTTCGTTCCATATGCGTTTGTTCAATTCATAAATCATTTTATGCAGTTCTATGCCGTTATACTTTATAAATTCAGCTGGTATCCTGTCTGACCCCGGGGGGCTTTCCAGTTTTTAAGTCGGTTTATAGCTCTTTTAGTTTTGTCTAAGTGGCTGATACTGGTGTTACTAATATTTCTCCATTTAGTAATTCTTCAAGATATTCTTATCATATAGATGCTTTTATCTGCAAGTCCAACAATATCCTGGTGTTTTATCTTTTGTGGCTTTTAATGTTGTGTTAAACTTCTGGTACTTTTTAATTGCAGCAAAAAAATTTCGAACTCTTCTTTGTGTGTGATCTTGTTCCGTGTTACGTAGAATCTCGTTTAAGTATTATTTTTCTATCTGGATTACCTGTTTGCATCTCTTGCGTTCTTCCTCAAATAGTTCTTTGGCCTCTACCGACTGATTTCTCAAAAAGTTCTGTCGATATTCATTCTCTTTAGAACTGCATTCTGTTATTCACTATTACACCATTTCTTTGGCTGCTTTCTATATTATCCCAATGATTTTTTTACTACCTCATCTGTAAAATTCTTTATTGTAATCCATTTATCATTTAAGTCAAGCATGTCTCTTTGTTTTAACCTTAGCTCTTCTGTGAAATCTTCCATATATTTTTGATTTCCCTCTTTTTAAGTTTTTCTATATTGATTTTAATTATTCTGTTTTTAGTTATTCGAGCATTCTTTAATCCAAGTCTGAATTTTGAAATGACCAAAAAAATGGTCCTCGATAACTTCTTACATCCGAAATACTTAATCTGAATCTTCTGTCCATGAGTATATGGTCAATTTGGTTATAGATATTTCCGTCGGATGGTTTTCATGTATATTTGTAAATATTCTTATGAGGAAAGAAAGTGCTACTTATGGTCATGTTTCTTGAGGCTACAAAAGCTACTATCCTCTGACCATTATCATTGCTTTACTCGTGTGCGCTGTGTAGGCCGATTATAGGTCTAAACAAAGTTTTTCTCCCTATTTTAGATATTAGAAATCACTTATGACAATCCTCACCGTATTTTTAGTGCGCTATCATAGACTTCCGTGACTTCCTCGTAAAATTCCTTCTTTAAAATCTCTTCTTTACATTCATACATTAATTTGTTAATTATAAATATATTAAATGGTTTTGTGTCCAGCCTTATTGTACATATGCGTTCAGACACTGGGTTAAATTCTTTTACACAAAACTCGTAGTCTTTATGCAAAGCAAAACTCGTAACAAAATGGTGTGTGTCATCTAATCCTTTAGAGTATATTGTGTAATCGTTTATTTTAACTTGTTCTGTACCAGTCCATCTCACCTCTTGTAGTGCTGCAATTGTTACATTGTACTCTTTCAGTACATCAGTTAGATTCTGACAAGCTCCAGTGCCATATAAGCTCAGCGTGTTCCAAGTCGCGATCTTAATCTCCTTACGATTCCGTTTTCCATTTCCAAAAAAATTTCAAGGTAATACAACCATTTGAGGATTTTTTGATAGTGGTTTCTTAACAATAGTTTTTATTGGGATGAGTCGTTTGCCCGTCGCCAAACTCACAACCCGAAGGACCTGATCCTCCCAACCAGCTAAGGTCATAGAGATAGCTATTGCAACACAAATTGTGCTAAAACAACGCCAACTTCATGAAAATACTATGTAATATCACCCTTTTTCACTCCTTTGTTATTGACTTGCAAGTTCTTGCTAACTACTTGCAAAATATTGACACTGTTAAGAACTTTTTTTATAGAAGTCTATGAGCCAACTTCATACTGGTATATACTTAAATATTTTTTTCTAAATTTATAAGTGTATTTCAATAAAAATAATTATTTAATATGTAAAACGCTACTAAAATCATTTATATGAGAAAGAGGAATTTTTTTATTTTTAATTGTAGTTTATAATGTTTTAAATGTATATTTTAAATTTTATTTGTAAAATGAGTATAAAAAACATGAATCGTGGGAACAAACTTAAATGATGATTACAATAAAATTGGTGATTTGTAGATTCTATCAATATTAAAATATTAAATGCTGGAGCTTGGTCACGAGGTAGTGAACGTGTTACAGTATCATTACCTATGGAGTTAGAAGACTATATACCAGAAGTAGAAGACTTTTATCGAAAAAAACATAGTGGTCGAAAATTACAATGGTATCATCATATGTCTAATGGCACAGTAAGTAATTTTTTTGTGTAAAATATAAATATAAACAATGTACATATTATTCACTTTTAAATAAAATTTATATTATATAGATAACGTTTTTAAATGAAATTGGTCGATTTGACATTGATGTAACAACATTCCAAATGGCAGTATTATTTGCATGGAATCAAAGACCAAAAGATAAAATATCTTATGAAAACCTTAGATTAGCAACAGAGTTGCCTGATCCCGAATTACGACGGACATTATGGGTTAGTATATGAATGCTTAAATGAAAATTTTTAAACTTATAGTTTGAGTTTAATATGAAACAATTATTAATTTTTAATTTGAACTGTTTTTTTATGTATCAAAATAAGTAAATTGTAAGTGGATTTAAAAACAGTTTCTGGTTTGTGTTTTGTAAATTGGTAATTATATTCTAGTTAACCATTAATTGCATTGAAAATTTTACTCATCTTAGCCATTGGGAACTTGAATTTTTTTTATTAATGTTTTTTGACCATTTCTACTCCATAATAATAAATCTAAAGATTTTCAAGGAAATTTTAACATTCCAATACTGATGTATTCAAAATTAAGTATTTATAAAATTACAAAATTATAAGTGTGCCTGTATCAGCTTTCAACTTGGATACAAATTAGTATGTAAATTTTGCATATTTTTTTTCTTGATATATCTTGGGTTAAATTTAATTTAATGAATGTATTAGAATAATTTTTTTTATTGAGTGTTAAAGCAATTTTTTAGAATTTAAATAAGAGTGTATTTTAAAGGTTTTATATAATGAAGTCTCCTTAATCCTACAATTACTATTAATCAATTTAAATCAATTTTTTTGTAAGAAAATATGCTTATTTTTCATAAAAAAAATGTAAATATAATAATTTATGTGTAAATATTAAATTTATTATTATTATTATACAACCTCGCTCCAATGACCAATTTCGAAAAAATTTATAATGGCTGTAAAATATTAACTAAATTCAGTATTAATCTTTTAGTTTCAGTTGTATAAATAAGTTTTTCAAATTCTAGGTTTTAGTTTAGGTACTGTGACAAATATTTATAAGATTTTATTTTTAGTTACTATTAATTTATTATAAAATGAGAACAATATTTATAACTGATTTTAAGCACTGATATTAATATTATGCAATTACTGTATTTTTTAGTCTTTAGTTAATTTTCCAAAATTAAAAAAACAAGTAGTGCTAGTAGAGCCTGAAGTACCATCTCCAAAAGAGTTCAACGAGAACACGTTATTTTGGATTAATGAACAGTTTTCTATAGTGTAAGAGTAACTTAATATAAAATAATTTATCTGGTTTTCTGCTTAAATGTTACAATTTTATAATACAAATAATTATTTTAGCAAAAATGGTAAACTTCAAAAAAGAGGAAAAATAAATTTAATAGGGAGATTACAATTATCTACCGAACGTAGTAAAGAAGAAGATAATGAATGTATCGTTCAATTACGAATTTTAAGAGTCCAAGTGAGCATTTATTTTACAAATAAAACTAATTCTATTACATTGATTCTTATACTGAACAATACAGTAGTCTTATAATTTTCTTTTTTTTTTTTTAGGAAGCAATTATAAAAATATTAAAAATGCGAAAACAAATATCAAATTGGAATCTTCAAACAGAATTGGTCGATATATTAAAGAATATGTTTTTACCAAGTAAAAAAATGATCAAAGAACAAGTTGAATGGTTAATTGAACATAAATATATGAAACGAGACGAAGATGATATTAATATGTTTGTTTACATTGCATAATTCTCAACCTAAAAGTATCACGATATCTATGTTACTACATTAAGCTATTGAGTAACATTTACATACTAGTTAATGTTTGTTTTCATAGTTTATTTATTTATTTTTCTTTTACCAAAGATTTTGGATGTAAATATTTATGTATTATTGTATATACAAGATGTGTTAAAAGTGTCATTTTGTATATTGTAAATACTAAATAATTGATCCTAATAAATTTAAAAATGATCAAGTTATTTAATTATTATAATTAATGTTTTGGTATTTTTTTATTTTTTACAGAAAAAAAAAATATTAACATTATAAAATTCTATTTTCATTTTGTTAATATCAATAATTCATTTAAAACACAGTGTAACCTCTGTATAGTGGACAGCCATGGGGAATTAAAAAATGTCCAATATTGAGAAAATCTCTACATACCAGACATTTACAAGAAATTACTAAATGTCCACTATAGGAAGATTCTATAGAGAATTGGTTATACATAAACATATACATACATTGCAATTTGTATATATTGAAATATTGATTAATTATTTATTATATATAATAATAATATGTATGTAATAAAAACTGGATATAAAAATGTTTTTAAGAATCTTAACGTATTTACACTATGTGCAACACACAACTGATGACTAAACACTTAACCAAACCATTTATTTTCGATTAAAAAAATCTTTAAGATAAAATAAAATATGAACGAAGTGTATTAAAGATGAATCTAGTATTTTTATTTATTTTAACATTTTTGATGTGTACAAATATGAGAGGTAATTTTTAATTTTGGTACTAGTTTTTAATGTCTACGTCCACTATTTGGAGTGTCCATTATTAAGAGGTTAAACTCCTACTATGTACTTTTATTTTTGCTGGGGAATTCAAGTGTTCACTGTTGAGAGAGGTCCATTAATAGAATTTTCACTGTATTAGGAAAAATATTATTTTATCACATGATGGTAATACTATATTGAGTCAAACATCCTATTAATAGCAATAATAAAAAAAAAAAAAGATTCTTATAAATAAGAAACACTTACATTTTTACATTTTTTTATTATTACTTAAATTTTATACACTATGAATGTATTAAAAACTTAAAAAGTATGTTATAAGTAATTTTATAGACAGTCTTAAAGGAAATAAATCTAATATGATTAAAAATTTTGTTAAACATACAACCATTTTAAGAAAAATATGTTAAATAATGTGCTCTAATAAAACAATTACACTACAAAAATAATTATAAAATAATAAAATAGTTTTACATTAATTATAATAAGTATTTAAAATATCAAATAAAATACATAAAATATCATTAAACATATATAGATACCTATCTAATAAGAAAATAACATAGATTAAAAAACACCATTTTATTTTTCTGGTAGCCTTGTATGAGGAATAGTAGAAACTGATGTCTTAGTATTTTCATGTCCTTCTGCCACATGTAAAACAATGCCTGGTAAAGTATCGGTTGCAGCATGGATTTCATGAGGTTGACCTGAAATCAACAAACATTTATAAGCATAATTATTAATAGTCTATATTATAATACATACATATACAATTAATATTTAAAATAATTTTTTTTATACATATTTAGTTTTAAAACAATTACTTATCATGATAATTGTTTTCTTCGTATTTAATGTTTATAATATATAATTATTTATATAAAATATAAATAAATAATATTTTCTAATTTCTAAAATTACATGTTGTATTAGTAATTAATTGCTAAGTATAAATTATGAAATTTTTTTAAATCATACATTTAAAAATATATATGAAGCAAAATAGTATTATGTAATTACCAGGTGTGAGGCTCGCTATAGCAGCTAGTAAATCATAATTTATAAGAGGCTCGCCTTCAGCTCTAGGTACCCAACCTTCTGGTGGTGAGGCTGGAGGTGATATTAAAAACTGTTTTACTGGAGCTGGTAATTGTAAGTGTTGGTCTGCCGCATCAATCGGTGTAACAGGCTTAAATAAATCGCAATGTTATCCAAGTTATATTTTATTTAAGATGTAAAAATTTTGGTAAAATTTACCTGTGCGAAGTAACAATTGATTATTGTGTCATAAAACCTTATTTGATGCATCTGAATTCTGGCATTAGCAGCAGATACTGAAGTGCCATAATTAACCCTTAAACGCTTGAAACTACGGAAATATTGAACAGAAATTATCTCCCCAAACCGGCTGAATAACATTTCCATTTCTTTCTGTAAAATTAGTTTAAAGATAATATAAAAAATAAATTAAACTTATTAAGATAATAAGATACAACCTTAAGATCATCATCCTTAAAAATTGCAGGATCAACATTAGTCACAATTAATGATGTAGGCAAATCTTCATCATTTAAATCATCTAATGATGATTGTTCAGAAGTTACAGCTTTGTATAAATCCTTTTTGTCATCGAGTAGACTCGGCAATCCATCGACTTCATTTACAATAATCTCTTGATCTTGGAGTTCTTTTTGTTCGTCCACCATGATGGTATGTGTACTACATGAATGATAATTAAATTAAATTAAAAATAAGCACAACTACCGAAATTACTATATACATTATTTTAAATAGTATCGAATTTTGGGAAATACTCACAGTTAACTAGAAATTATGGTTTATATGTATGATTATTGTTTTTAAATATACGACATAATTTTAAGTTGAAAGTCAGTAGTAAGCTTTATTGTATGAGAGGTATTTCAACAAACATTTCAATTGTCAACTACACGGTTTGCATACAATTTATAACAACTCTGTTATTAATTATTATATGAAATGTCATTTATCAGTACCCTGTTACAGGACACTCCTGTAATACGAAACTTTCGTGGTCAGTGGTGATTAATGATGGTCGATGGTACGTCTACCAGATACTTTCAGAGTCCAGACTCCAGACGAGGTTTATATCGGATAACTAAAAAGAAAATAATTTGTAATAATGAAATAAGACAACAAAAGTAGCTAAAGAGTAAAGGCTAAAGCTGAATTGAACTTATTTATGTATACCATGAATCACTTGTAATTGAGACGGGGCTTACCACAGTAGAGGCTTAACTGATAACGCTAGTCAGCTGATCTTTAGAAGCACCGAACAAGTTAGAAGTTTCACGAAATATTATTTTTGTTACGTACCAACAAAGATAGAAATTATAATACATGTAATTACTATAAATATATTTTTTTTATATTAAAAGAATATTTACAATCTTTGCTTCAAAGTTCAAATGATAATAAACAAATTAGATACACACACATAACAAGAAAGAATATAACAATGTTGTAGATATGTGAGGAAAGAGGTCATTCAGTGATAGAACCCAATTTTAATTTATTTTTTTCATGATTTTTTTTTTTTTGTTTATTAATTATTAATGATTAGTTGACGGTTAATTAAGTATTTATTAAGTTTCGATAGTCGACATTATTTTCGGTCGAGTCGACGAGGAAGGGGGGAGAGTCCGGCAAATGAATTTGAAACAAGTTCAACGATTAAAGAATTTAAATGAGTCTTTAATTTAGATTGAAATTTATTAGTGTTATGCTGGTTAACTGACATTATTTTAAAGTCGTTTTAATTTTTAAGTGTCTTGTTTGACACATGCGATAACGCAAAAGAGATAATACGGAGAGTGATAGATTGGAAACTTGTATAGAGTACGAATTTGGAATATCTTGGCACATTCCCAAATGTGATTTGCAAAAAACAAATATGTCTTAGTAGGGGTTCGTAAATTATAATTTTAGTAGTTAGTACCTATATGACGTATGAGAGGCTAATTTCGATTTGAGAATCAGACAGATGAAATCTATAATCGAGGATATTCTTTTTAGATTTTATGTGAGGATCCCGAATATTTTGTCAAATATGCAACAAAGATATTTTACATCCAAAAATATTGAAGTTTAGAGAAGAGGGTGTGGATATTTTTAGCGGGGACAAGACATAAATATAACAGTTAATCACATAAGAGTATATTAAAAACATATAAACGAGCACATTGAATTCTATATCATAATATACGAATACGGAGAATGGATTAAAATAGATTATTTTTTATTTTAGATATGGCAACTGCAAGGTGTATCAAACTATAAAATATCAATATAATACACTTTGGTCCGTGGATATGAGAGGGTACCTACCAACCACCAAGTTAACCGTACGCCGGTCATTGTACCTACTTCATGACTTTGAAGTCAGTAATTATTTACCTATAGGCTATAAGAAATATCTATATTCCATTGATCTATAATTAATCTATTTTAACATTATCCCCATGAACCCATGAAATTAAACATTATACTTGAATGAAATTGCACTTTTTTAAAAATATATCTAGTACCACAGGTTCATTATAATCGTTTCTATAACGAGTACAGGTGAATAGCAAAATTGCGTGGAATAGATTAAGAGGATGTTACACAGACATTTGTTGTCTCTGTCTCACAAGTGTGTAACATAATAAATTTACATTCAGTAGATTAGGTTTAGCTTCGTTAGTTTAAAAATTAGAGTGAATTTACCTGTTATGAAACTTGATGATAAGAAGATTATCTGTGTTTGTATGTAGGTGTTTTACGATAGTTTAATTTTTTAGCGAGTTTTGAGTGTGTAAAATATACCTACTAAATTAAAAATGCTCATAACTCATTTAAAAAAATAAAATTATTGTAAAAACCCATATATATACGTAGAAAATATTTTTACCATCAAGTTTCATTACAGGTCGATTTATTCTAATTTTTAAACTAATGGAGCTGAACTTGATCTGCTGAACGTAAATTGTCCATGTTACACACTTGTATTGTAAGACAAAGACAATAAATGTCTTTGTAGCGTCCTCTTAAGCATCTTAAGCAGCGCCACAGGGAAAAGTGGGGAAAGTGGGGAGGGCTCCACTTGCTATTGTTAAAAAATAATGAATGTGATAATTTTCAAACTGATGGTTTATAATTCGTTTATTAATTCGTTTATAATCGTGAAATTGTATCATGAAACAATCGATTTTATCGTTAAATTGGAAGAAAATACCCATTGATTTGGATATCAATTGCCTACCAAAATAAAATGTCAGTAGACCGTGCAAAACTTGTTCTGCAAAATCTATAAGTCCAAAACATATGTTTGAAATTGAAAACCGTTCAAAAAAAAAAACTAAAAACTTTATGTGAACGGTTAATAACTAATACAATTGAAGTGGACACATTTAAAAAAAAATATATGCTTTAATTTAAGAAAACGATTATGAGTTATTAATACTATATATCATTTTTTTTGTACATAATATTGTGATACAACTTTATCACGATTAAAAAAAAATTGACTATTTTTAAATCATAGGTACAAAGTAGGTATATGTATACACTAACATTGAAGTCTCGTGAATATCAAATAATATGTGTGTTAAGTAGATACACATCATTTTTATTACAGGGTTATTTTCCAAGATTATTATTTCATGAGTTTACTTATTTATTAGAAGAATATTATGTTAAAGTCAATATATTGTACAGCCCCGATATGATAACAATATCGGAAGCATAATATCTAATATGAACATAATTAAAATAATCTATAATGAAAATCGATACTGTACTGTCTGTATCGCCAAAAATAAAATATTTAATGTCTTAGGGTTGATTCTTCAAAAATTTATAAATACATTATCAAAAACGATAAACATAAACGTGTTAGTCGCAGATCGCAGGAAATATATTGTTTTTGTCATTAACGTAATGTCCTAACATAAAAATGTAATATACTTTATTAGCTAGTCTATAGCTACCTATGTGGCTATCGGCTATGTTTAATTGTATTGAACTTGAACTATTATTTTGTCGTAAATATTTATATGATCTCGAATCATTTTCTTGTTATCAATTCACTATCAGTTCACTTATCAATGTTTATTTAATTTAAAAACGCGTTTAAATTCCACTATCATCACTTTAAAAGTAAAAACTGAAAGCTGATAAGTAACTTTATTTCTTTGATCTTTCAGACTCCAGTACTTTTCGAATAGGACAATATACGAACAATTAATGTGAAATTAAATATTGCTCAACGTAATATTATAGTGATTTCATTTTAATTATAATCTCACTTTACATTTAACGTTATCTCATAATCAAGTAATAATGTCGGAGTACAACAAAGTCCGGGTATCGAAGTTGGTATTGAAAAACGAAAAAGTCAAGTAAGTTGAATACACCATGATCCAATTATTAAACTGGAATTTTTTTTTGTGAGAGAATATTTCTTTTTATTTATTTACTTGAGCTGCTAAATCTTTGTATAACATGTAATTATAAACTGTGAAGTACTGTTATGCCACAAAAAATAATATAACTATACAGGGATTAAGTATATAAATAATAATATACCATTTAATAATGTTTAGAAAGAAAAAGAAAAAGAACAAGTCTAAAAATAAAGATGAAAAAATTAATGTTGAAGAAAATCAAGAAAAAATTAACCATGGTACATTTACAATTAATCAATTTGTTCTAAGTACATATTATATTGTATAAAATTTATTTTTTATTATTTACAGGTAACTGGGCAGAGGCAAAATTGGTAAGCGAAATTTCAGGACCAGTAGCTCTTGAATTTGGTTCTCAAACTTATGTTACTGCAATGGACAATGGACTGTTTACACTAGGCCCTCCTCATAATGAAGGTTAGTATTCTAAATAATGGTTTCATTTGTGAGATGGCTCTATGGATTTTTTTTTACTTTTATTTTCCTTGATACCAAATTTAAATGGGATAATAGTTTTATTTAAGTTTATAAAAATTATAGTTTTTACTTATTTACTACAGGTTAACTATAAAATGTACTAATTGTGTACATTTAAATCAAAAAAGATTTTTTTATTTTTCTTGTTAATTAAAATTTTTTTTTCATGTTAAAGTGTATATTTTTGTTTTTATTTTATAGGAGAAGGTCCTTTACCAGAAGAAATTTTAACTGCTATTATTGTCAATGAAACAAGAATTGCTTTAAAATCTGGATATGGTAAATATTTAGGTGTTGATAAAGATGGAACTATAGTTGGAAGATCAGATGCCATTGGACCATTGGAACAATTTGAACCAATTTTTCAAGTAATAAAATATAAATAGTTATTTAAAAGTGTTACTGTATATTATAATGATACCATAGTAAAGTTGTGTAAACTTGTTTATATGTCTGTGAATGGTACTAACAAATAATAATATGATACATCTATTATATTTTATTTTATGTTTATGAGAGCATTGTATGATGTAGTGCAGTGGTTCTTAACCTTTTTATGCTCATGGTACATTTATTTTAACTATACAGTTTGACAAAACACTATAGTAATAAAATAATAGGAAGCAAACAAAAAAGGGCATTTTTATTTTAACTATTATTTTTTATTATTAATATATTATTTAATTAAAACATTAATACCTTATATTACTATACACATGTACCATGGCCCAGGCACACTAGTGTGCCGCGGAACACTGGTTGAGAAACACTGGTGTCGTCTTTGGCTGCAGTCACTGAATGATACTGTAGTCAAGTATAACCCAGCATTGCTAGCTCTCAGGCTGGCGACTACTTGGTTTCTTAGCAATGAAGCCATATCTCACATATGAGAACATATGTTCCAAAAACCTACTTTTTACAACAAAAAAATCTTAAATAAAGCTTAAACTTCATTAATTTAAAAAAATTATATGTAAATTAAACCATCAATCTTTTTTTAAGTCTTTATCATTTATTTAATTAACATTGACCATAAATAATGTCAAGTTTTAAAAATATCAAACTAATTTATTTTATTTTGAATAGTTTAGTTTGGTACTAATACTGAAAATAATGTAGAAGTAGAATTTAAATAATTTCATTGATAAACATCTTAATTTTGAAAATTAAAATAGAAATAAGTATTGATGTAAATTTTATTTTATTGGTAAATTAAAGGATAACAAATTAGCAATCCTAGCTTCTACTGGATGTTTTATTAGTATACGAGATGAAGATGATTCTTTGGTTGCAAAAAATCGAACTGTTGGTCCAAATGAATTAGTTAAAATTAGACTTCATGCTATTGAAAATACAGAAGAAGAGATTGATAAATTGGACGAAAAAAAAGGAAATATTAAAGACATAGAAAAAAATTATGTGTAAGCATTCTCATTATTTCTACATTCCCATAGTTCATTAACATTTATTATATATTTTAAACAATAATATCATATAAGCAATTAAATTTATATTTTTAAATACATTATAATTTTAATATTCAATTTTTATCAATCAATTCATAATTTTTTTCTGATATAATTGAACTCTGGGACTAACTGCTTATGCATTACTTATCCATCATAACATTCTAAAATTTATTGTTTTATAATTATATTTATTATTTTATTAGAAAAATGTTTCAAAAATTTCAAGATAAGAAGATGCGTGTGATTGAAGGAAAAAGAAGTGAATTAAAGAAAGCTCAACAAGAAGGAAAATTACACGAATCATTATTAGACAGAAGAGCTAAAACAAAAGCAGACAGATATTGTAAATAGTTTATATTATTATTTCAATGTATCTTTATTAAATTAAGTGTAATTTTTTAAAATTTAATTAAAATGTATAACATTTTGTCTCTACTTGTCAAATTTATTTATACATATTAAGCAACTAAACTCCTAAAAATTCAAATTTAATGAAATATTACTACTATATAGTATATATCTTGTATAATTTTTCTAAAAATGTTGATTTTATTAAACCTATAAAAACAAATGCACCCTCCAAAATACTATTATAATTATTTTTTAGAAAATCTAGTATTTAGGTGTCTTAGTTTTGAAACCACCATTTATACAACATGTTTTAATAAATTTGTTTCACTATGTTTTTCCACTTCTACATCTACATGTAATATATTAAGTAGTTTATATAGATATTACAAATAGGTATAGATACCTATATTTTATTTAAATATACATTTCTTGTAATTTATAAATTAATCTTAACTTTTAATGAACTTCCATGGTTATAATGTACCTAATATAGCAATATAAACTTTTAACATGTTTAGTCTTAACTTTTAGATTATATAGATTATAGGTAGATTAGGTACAGGCAACACAATCTCGACTCGTTCATAATTTTATGCAATCTAAAATTTTTGACTTTAGTATATATTGCTCTTATCGGTAAATAAATTGCTATGAATAAAAATATTTATTTTCTTTTAGATAATTATACAATTTCTTAATGTGTAGCATTATAATCATAAGAGAGTAATTCAGTAATAGTTATATTAAGTTACTTTTAGACGTGAAAAAAGAACTATTCTTACTTTGGCATGAATTTTAATAAAAATATAAATCTCTTTAAATAAACGTAGTGCGTAATAAAACATTTCAGTGAGTACTTAATGAAATCATAATGATTTAATTACATCAGACATTGTTAATATAAACTTTTATGGACACAATGGCACTGAATTTATTAATACCATTCATAGTGTAAATGGTTTGAATATTAATTAAATTGTCAGATATTCATTAAATCTCTGTTGCAGAATATTTTTATAAGTCGAAAAGTATAAAATATAGATAAAATTTGCATAAGACGTATCATGGCAGTTTCAAAGATTTTAAATATTTGTGAAACAAGGGTCTGGAATTAAGATGACAAATTTAAATCATCTGTGTTAAATATTATATTTTATTTGCAAATGATTTTTTAATATAAATTTAACATAATTTTAAGTATATCTATATAATTATGATAATATGATCACAAGATACAATGCAAAAATACATATATAATTTTATGAAGTAATAAACATAATACTCGTTAGGTATTACTTATTACTAAGACGCGGAATTTTTAACATTTGCATATTATTCGTTTTAAGCAGTCGTAAAAATAGACTAACTAGATAACAATTTGTTTCATGTTACGACAAAACCAAATCTATAATTTATTTTATGTTGTATATTTTTGCACATTAAAGTATTTTTGATTTTTGTGACATATTTTTAAAATTATGTTTATCATAAAAATTAAATTTCTTTATTAAATAATTTTAACACGCACTGCCGCGTAATACCAACTGACTGCATATAGAAAAATAAATGACAAATTAATTAACAAATCAATGAAGTTCAATTATCAATCAATGTAATCGAATATTTTCTAAACAATAAAAATCAACGTTTCATTTAGACTACAAAAAAAAAAAAAAAAATCATTTTTGACAATAGCATGTTTAATTATATAATTTTCTTTTTTATTTTATTAAACAGCAAATTCGAAATATTATGTTGTAATTGATTAATGATCTTAATAATATATTGAAGTTTGCATTCGGGCTTATGTTGTAATCAATAATTGTGATTCTAATGATTATGAATTTAAATCATTCAATATTGTTCTAAATTTTTTAGTATTGAACTTCAGTCTGTGTGCAGGATTATTTTTTAACTAGGTAGGTACTTGTTTAATTGTTGTGTGTTTATTATTTAGGTTTAAAATTATATAAAATATACTATACTATTACACGGGTAACAATAATTTCTCATTCCTATATTGGCTATCTATATTATTGTTATTAAATTCTATTCATAGGAAAAAAATGTTTAATAGAACAATAAATTTAACCGTTGAGGCATTAACTATTGAATATAATAATACATAAAAATATAAAAGTATCACATTTATACCTGTATTGTTATTACTTATTACACTCATTAATGATAGATCGTTCATACAGATAAGTTGTGTGAAATGGTTTAATTTAAATGCACAATGTACGTAGAGACATAAAGTTACTATAGGTACTTATTATTAAAAAAAATGGGTAATTAAGTTTTAATGTATGTATTTTATGGCTGTATTTGATTTTTCCGTGACAAATGATAATAATTTGGATACATATATTAAACGATACCTATAATATACTTATCTAAGCAGTAGGAGGTGCCTTTATTGTGTAGATAAATATTACATAGCTGTTAGAGAATACCGATAGATACCTATTTAATATTTTGGTACACTTTATAATAATATGCGGTGCATAATAATGATTAAAATGTGATTTATATCTAGTTACTAGTTATATTTTATCATGTGACTAGTTCTAGTCACTTATTATTATAAGTTTATTTATGTGAATTTATGTGAATTGTATATATAGGAGAAAGTAGATTTTACATTCATTGTCAATCGATCATTAAAATCACCCTAAACTGCAATATGAAAACCATAAAAGTATTTAATTGATTTGTGGATTTTCCACAAGTATATATATGGAACTTACTAATTGCAAGCTTGCAAAAATATATTTTTAATCGTATTGATCTACTATCCGTGCTAGTTTTTTTTTTTTTTTTTAGCAAAATTGTTGTACAGGTTACAAAAACTCAACAGTATTACATAAATAATTATGTGTAATCTACACGAGTCATGACCCGTACCCGTATAATATATTTTTATTTCTATATTACCCATATTCAGGATTTGAATTGAGAGAGCCAGAAGGATACTTTATATTTAAAAAAATATATTTAAGCGTACCTACCCCTTCTAATTATATATTCTAAATTCTAATGAGTAATGGCTGGTGAATTAGACATTTAAATCTACAGGTACGCGCATTTCTCATTACGCTTAGTATCTCGCTTTGAATTTTTTAAATTCAAGTCCTTATACTCTCATAGCCCTCATATATACGTATACGGTGTGAACAACACGCGAACGTTTGGTCGTCAAAATAGATCCTCGACAAAAGGTCGTAAAACTCGAGTTGCGGCCGGTCTGCAATAAAATAACGCGTGTGATGTATAACGTACGCGCGTTCAGTCGATAAAAGTTTGAGCAGAGGTCCGCGAGGTTGCGCCCCCATTGCGCGAGGGTGAATATACCCCAAGAGGAAAAGTTACGTACACGCATAATACGTGCACATAGGGGTTGGGAATATCCTCTCTGACTGTTCGTCGCGGCGGCATCCATTCATATTATCCTGTAGTCGTGATGTAGCGTTCGCGTGTGCTGTCGATGTGTCCATAATATACGCGTCACTGTACTGCGCGTCGCTTTTTGTTTTTGTTTTTTTATTACTCGTGCAATATAATAAATAATAATTATACCTACTTAAATATATTAATATATAATGTAGGTACTTCAGTAAATCATCCATGTGCTTTATTCACCTCACCACTGATTATATACACATTATAAAAATGTGTATAAAAAATACCCATAAAATTCTATTGAATTGTGTGTGAAACGAGAAGACTAATGTTTTAGTGCAATATTTAGATTTAGACAAATTATAGCTCCGATCCTCGATCGTAGGTTAAGTTTTTATAATAATATTATATGAAATGTTAAATATGCGTAGTATAATCTATTATGCCTATATTGCACTATGAGTAATAATTAATTCATAATAAATTAACAATCATAATGTTTTATTAATTCCGTCGATCTGCGTATGTGATGTACTTTTTTTTCTTACAATAAAGCCGCGGGATAATTGATTATTTGATTTAAAATTTAAATTATTAGTAACTAGTAAGTAGTATTTATAACTTAAACAATTTATCAATTGTTATAAAATATGGGAACAATATAATATTTATTTTATGAATAACAAACATTTTTCTATTGAATTTCAGAACGATGTGTAGTACATTTTTATGAGAAATGTTTGATTAAATTGTGAAAAACAAAATATGATTGATCCCGGAAACACATTTCTCAACACGTTTTATATTACTTCCTGTCTAACCGTCGGTAAGTACAAACCATATTCACTTACATATAATATTTATAAATCATTATACAGACTTATCTGATATTTTTATGGGTGTAGATTTTTTTTTGTATCCAGTGAAGTTATATACATTTAAAAACTTGTAATTAATTTTTGCTACAGGCACTTATAATTACCTTAAAATTAATTAAATTCATATAATATATTCTATGTATAATAAAAATAATTAAAAACGTCGTATTTTATCAATGATAAATCTGTTTTCAAAAATGTAAACAATCATTAGCGCTAAAGTCAGTTGAAAATGAAGTATTTAAACGGTTGCAATAAGCAAACAAAATGAGTAGGCGCACTCTTGAGACAATATTATGTAGAGTACCTACTAACATATTGTATTGTTTATATACCCAGTTACTGTATAATATGTGCATAAGTCAACATTACTCGCTTATATTATATTTATATAAAATGTCTGGGATTTCCATAGTTCTATTACTTGATACTTCTATTCATCTTAATGGAGTTTTACTATACTCAAGATGTTAGGGGAATATGAAGCAATACAATCAATATTTACACTAGGTTCATGTTAAATTGACCTTAGTAGTTATGAAAAAAAACCTAAAACACATTTAACACGCAACATTAGTTTTTGTGAGTTCGTGACCATTATACAATATATATACATTCAGTGTAGGTACCTTAAAAGAATAAAGATGGTATTAAAATTTATTATTTGATTTTTGAAGTAATATATATCGACATCCGTCATCCATCATGTTATAAGTTTAGTACAATAGTACTCTTATATTAAATAATAAGTACAATATAATAAATATAGCACATATAAGTACGTTGCAGGCCGTAAAATATTATCCGTAGGAATATTTATTTATTTAATTTTAAACATTTAAAAAAAAAGAAATAAATATTTTGTCAAACGTAAAAATTGTTAATCTAATAATCTATTTCTTTATTTCTTCTTTAACTTTTATAGTTGTTATTAATTAAAAATTTAAAATAAAGAATGTACATAATATAAGTTCTAATACTAATGATAGGTACACCCTATAAAATATAAATGTACCTATTTATGTATATGTAAAAATAAATATATTCACTTATATGTATATACTCACTTAAGTTATTAATTATTCCATACATTTTATATTTAAGTATGTAAGTACACTTAATTATAATATAAATGTTTCTTTTTTTTGAATTTTAAGTTGAATATAATGTTAATTTTACATACAGTTAGGTTACGAAATTACATTTTTTATAAATTAACTAAAAATATAAGGAAACTCAAACTATAATATTTAATTATTTTTTACTAATGCGTGTTAAAAATATTAACTTATATATAAACACTGTTTATACCTATCTAAGTAGATATAACTGATATAAGAATAAAATATTATAGTTATATTCGGGGTTTACAGTTTTTACTTTTTTCATTGAATAGCCTAATAACATTTCACCAACAACCGTGTTAAAACTTAGTGAAATAACTATTTTATGATTTTTTACATGCATATTTAAAAAATTAAACGTGAAATTAAAACTAAAAAATAATTTTTATTAAATTATACTTTCATGTTCATAATTAAATTATAGTTCCTTTAAGCAATAAAATATTATCTATCAATGTTCATAAAGTGAAACGATTGTATCTATTACCGTCTACCCGTCTGTTTATGTAGGTAGTCACAATGATTTTTATACAATTAAAATTAAAATTAGTCGATATTCATTTATTAGTGTTGAGCTATTTTACGTAGAAATTACGAAATATAAATCTATATTAACATATAATGTCGACATAATTTTGCTAATATTTTCAAATTTTTGAATATTATAAGTGAAATTTAAAATGTTGTAATTTCATTAATTTTTGTTCAATATTTATAATTTATTTTATCAATATATTTGTTGTATTAGATAATTTAGATGAATTTGTTATATTTCTATTTGGCTCTTGTACTACCTAGCCAGTACTTATATTAAAATATAAATTTATTTCCTCTTTACCAATTATCAGTTATCGTCACTCACGATTTATTATTCTTATTTTGAAATACATACATATATTTTGGTAAATCTATTATAATTTATTTCTAAATCCAAAAATACTCTCTTGTAATGATAAGCTTTTAAATACTTAGGTATAATATAAACAGCATAAATACTAATTAGCTGTTTACGACTTTACGGGTGGGTAGCCACAGTGCGTAGCTTATGATCGAATTTAGTATACTTGTATACTCTCATATGTGAAGATAGTTGATAGTTTTAACTTAATTTCTTCATAAAAAAATTGACGCTTTGTTAAAATCTGTCACTAAAATGTACAAACATGGGACTACTCTACTTCTACAAAATATTACTCGATACATTTTTGATGATCGACAGTTATTTAATATTTGAATGACTTAATCACCCCTTTTTAAACTGTAATTTAATATTTCTGTTGTTTCCCGAACATCAACTCTTTCATAGTTGATTTTCTTATATTATACTATCAATTTAAGGTTTATGCACCAACCTATTATGCAGGTGAAATTGAATTATATAACAATACTATTTTAAGGTTTCTTATACAAAAATCAATGTTAAGACTTAACTTAGATAAATATAATAATTGAATAAAATATAAATGTTTATAAAAACTTATCAAATATAATATATTATACAGAGTAGTGAATAATTTATTAATTAATAATGAGTAATGATTACACAATATTAAATATATACACTAGTACTAATTAAATTATGTTACTATATTTCTTATTTATGTACTAATAAACTTATTAGTCAGTATCGTATGCAGCGAGTACTGGAGGTACCTGCACCCCCATGAAGTCTTTTTTTGTAACTTCTATTGACATAGAGACATTATTTGATGTTTTTTTCCAATAGAAAAGAGAGACGTTTGAATTTAAAATTATAAGTAGGAAATATAATTTTTTTTAAATTAAGTCTATAAATAATTTATTTTTATTATAATTTGTTATTTTTTTTTTTTATTAGTTTGTTATTGTAATTAATTTATTATGTCAAAGAATAGTTATTTTAATATTAAAATTTTTTTAACCCGTTTACCTAATTATGTTATAAAGTAAAGAAATATTTTGTTAGGTTTTTAATAATTAAATTTATTAAGTTACTTCATCAAAATTTCCTTTATTCGTAACTATCTCGTTTGTTTAAGGTCAGCTATGGCTTGTTTTATATCATATTATGTTTGATAAAAGTTAAAAGTTATGATCTTGTATTCTTGTTAGTAAATACTAAATATAGTAATAATATTTGAACAAAAAATAAAATATTGATATCATGATACACAGTATGTCCAGAAAGTAAGTTCCGTTGGGCAATATAAACATGTAAATGTGTAAATTTTATTATAAATTTTATTTGAATATAAAATACATGTATTACTCTATTTTTAAACATAGTTACCACCATTATTTAAGCACTTATCATATCGAGGTACTAGTTTTTGTATCCCTTCATCATAGAAAGATGACGCCTGTGATTGTAACCATGCGCTAATAGCCTTTTTCACCTCATCATCTTCGTTGAAGTTCTGGCCACCCATAAATGATTTCATGTGTAAAAAAAGATGAAAATCACTGGGTGCCAAATCTGGACTGTAGGGCGGATGATTAAATTGTTCCCATGCACGACAATGCCCGCCCGCACACAGCAAATGTGACAAAACAACTTCTTGCAGATTTTGCATGGGAACAATTTAATCTATTTAAAATTGACTGTTATTATCATTTTTAATTATCAAATTAGGCTTGTAAAATTATCTCGAGCGGCATGTCTTAAAATTTTAAAAGTTCTCTTATATAATCATAATTTTAATTAAAAAAAAAAAGTAGTAAAATAAGTTGTCTAATAAAATATAAATTAATTATTATTAAAATTTTATAATAAAGTGAAATTTTATTTATCCAATTTTGATATAAGGAATTCAATAATCCTAAAAAAAATGTTTTTTGTTGAAGAAAATATTGTTCATGTACCGCGGAATTGTGGACATTTTGTGAAGAGCAGTGTATTATATTTAAAATAGGTTGAAAATTACTGATTTAAACGTAGTCAAATAACATTTTCGGGAGAGAAGGGATTAAAAAATAATCACTGGATGGGTTTCAGAAATAATAAACATAATACAGGTTCATTAAAATTTTACTTGATTTCCTTAAATATAATAAATCGAAGATATTTTTTTGTAATAATTGAGCATAATTATTTATAATTTGTGTTCGATGTAATTTTAACATATCTTTTACGATCATAAATCATAATACTCATAAATATATTGATATATAATATATTACACATTTAAATTTAGGTGCTAATAACCTAACCTATTTATAAATGTATAAATATTATTTATAACTAGTTAGTTTTATTTTATAAATTGTTTAATTTGCTATACTAGTAAAATATTAATCGTTCATATATCGAGATTAAAGTGATTAAATCACTATTTTTTGAAAATAATCATATTCTTAAAAAATAAATTTATATTATATTATAATAAATATATTGTTACGATTATTAAAATCATATGAACTATATGTATGCTAATTTATTTGTTCTTAATTTTAGCATGTGTAATAGCTCAAGAATGGTTAAACGTAACATCTAACTATACAGCGTTAATGGGTGACCTTAATATCGACTTACTGGAGCCAGGTATTGCTGTGCAGCTATATGAAGCTAAAAATGACAATTACACTTTAATGGGTACAATACCTGTCGACGGGAATCAGCAGAATATTACCATACATTGTGGCGTTATCACCAAAGGTGGACACTATATAATTCAATTAATTTCTAATGACACCACTGAAGATGATGAAATATTTAAAGTAGGTGGACTATATATTATGATGATAAAAATATATTTTAACATATACCTAGCCTAAAATGAATATAGTAGTAAAATTAGAATGATTTGAGCATATTTCTGTTATAACTGTAGCATTAGTATAATAAATATTGTGCTATAAAAAAAATATATTTTACTTCAGATTGTGTTTTAAATTTAAATTTCTTTGCCTTTTTCCTCTTGTCTGACGGTTAAATAAAATTGATACTAGCTGTCTAAACTGTCTAGTTAATAACTAAAAGTTCAATTTTGAACAATGTTGAATGAATAAAATAAAACGTGCGTAATTACAAAATGAATAAATTATTATAGGACAGACAAACGGTTGAACTCGACGTCCGATGGCCCGGGGTTAGTTTATCATTCGAACCAAAACGGATTACTACATACCCAGACTCGTGGCAACAAGTCGTAATCATAATGAAATTCGAAGGGCCTCAATGTGAACCTGCCGTTGGGTCTGCTGTGCCTATGCTGTGGCTCGATTTAATATACTGTGGTCTATCTGCCAATGCGTGCAAGAACGTCTCCAGAGAGTCGTCCCGTGGTTCTATGGAACATTTGGTATGCGTGCATATGTATATTATATGTATAGATTAGCTTAAATAAATAATTTTAATACATATTACGTAAACATATACAATGGATATATATACGAGCATGTTGTTTTTCTGTTGCAGATCGTTCATTCTGAACAAATTCGTGGTTACCCGAGATTTAGGAAAATTTTTTTAAAATGCGATGTTTTTGGTATAGCTGGTTTTTACACGGCGGTATTGAGGCCGCCCAAACGCCAAGCATTCTTCACTCACGTCATGGACGGGCAGTTAGAGGTAAGCATTTTTGTAAAATAATATTTTTACTATAATAATATTTATGTGTTTAATTAACAACATTTTGCTTTAAAATAAGGTTATTCCGAGCAATAAATTTACCTTGAACGTACACGGGAAATCGATATTCCCTTGTGATAACTATGGTGGTGGTGTTCCTGTGATGTTTCAGTACCCGTCGTGTATCTTGCCAACTTCAGACAAAGTAATAAATTTAATCTGTTCTCTAGTGTATACAATTAAAGAAAAGAAGTCATGAATCTATTTTTAGCATACCTAGTTAAAGGCTTTTCTCTTATGCATACAAACTAAATAAATTATATAAACAAATTGTAAATATCTACGCTTTTAAAATCATTGAAAATCTTCCAAATCTGTGACATTTTTGATCTAGTATTGTAAACGTATTCAAACTTTTAAATAAAGATTATTTAAAACTGATTGAAACTAATAATTTGTTCATATTGCATTAATGATCGTTTTATTCGTATTATATTTTTTATAAGAATAAATAATATTATATAATATTCTAATTAAAAAAAAAAAAACTCTACCCTATAATTTTTTCCCTATGAACAATGCACATCGATATAAACATAGATATTTCACAATACAAACAAGAAAATACAAGCCCAATTATCTATATACATTTTTTTTTTGCAATACAATACAAAAATGTCATTATTACAAAATACAAACACATTGTACAGTCGCATCCAAAACAAAAATCAGCGTTGGGATAGCAGTAGTAACAGAAAATTTAACGACTACTTTCCTTTAGAATGCTCTATCTACACAGCCAAAGTTCTAACTATAAATAAAGCAGTAAAATACACAAATAAAAACAAAAAAATAACCTATAACAATTATTAAACACTAAGTGATTCTCTCAGCAGCCTCATAGACATCAACAACTCAATCCATAATCTGACATATCCAAACTAATTCAAGAAAAAACCTATAAAGTATGTCAAAAAGAAATAGAGATATCCTATCTTTGGATATCCGGACACAATGGAATATATATACGGCAACAAAGTAGCAGATAAAAATACATTTAGAGCCGTTTCCTCCACCGACACCCTAACCCTAAACCTAATATCCTACGCTGACATAAAGAAACACATCCATATGATTCTATATCTCAAATGGCAAAACCACTGGATAAAACAAAACACTAAATTAAATACCATGAAAAACAATATCCATGTATGGTAAAACCCAGGCCTCAGCAGGAAAGACGAAACCATAATAAACTGCCTCCGAATAAGGCATACATTTATAACACTAACATACAACTACTTCATTTCCCGAAACGATCCCCTTATTATGTGAATTATGTGGAGCAGACAACATAGCCAAATACATAATAACGGAATGCCTCAAATTCAAAAATTCATGAGCTAACCACCACGTTATATACCTTATATTTTAGGAGAAGCCTTTTAACTCGACCTCCAATTTAATACCAGCATCATCAACTTTTGAAAGGAAATTAAATTAATAACCTAATATGAGCGTAAATTTATTCTAACTTTAATTTAAATATAAATACAATATCAACTAATATCTAATGGCTTATAGTAACTCATTAAATTATATTTAAAAAAACTTTATTATCTAAAAATTGATAATTTTTGTTTAAATATTTTCATATTTGATTTTTTAAATGTTCATACATCCGTATTAAAATATTCAAATTTATTTGAATTTCTAGATCAGATTGTTCGGTCGACAACGCGAAGATGTGTCTACACTGTTACCGCCAACCAAATTGCATTACGTATCCGAGCATCGAATAGTTAAAGGACGCCATAGCGTGTACTTCGATTGCGATTTATTCTCGGAAAAATATATTGAATATTGTTTCGTCTATGTTAATCAAGCTATAAACAGAGCATATACAAACATCAAGACTAACTGTGTACCGACATTACCAATCACTGGTAAACTATCATAATGATTATTAATAATTACACAATAAATTATAGTAATAACATATTGATAAATCGAATAAAATATTTAAACATGTAATCGACTTTCGTAGATGACGATTCCGGACAATGGAGTAAATGGAGTGAATGGTCGCCGTGTTCAACCACGTGTTATGGAGGAACTAGGAATAGATACAGAACTTGTGACTCGCCTCCGCCGAAATATGGCGCCAAATTTTGTCAGGTAGATAGGCCAAAACTGAAAAAATACTTACGTTTATCGTTTATGTTTATGATAAATTGATAAATGACACATTTAAGTTTAATTTTCTATTAAAATTTATATATGCATTGTGATTACCTATATACACTTTTATAATAATGATAATTTTATGAAAAAATAGATATAATAATAAAGTTCTATTAGAATATAATACAAATGTATTATAGTTATAATGCACCTATGCAAATTATGTATATAGATTATTCCATATTATTATATGCAAAATTTACATATAAATTGTAATTTGTAAATGCTTTTGAACTTGTTAAGTTCTACATTTTTATTTCATTTATCTAGATTTATTATGTTGACTCAACTATGAAAATTATTAATATAATCGTATAATGTATACTTTCAAAATAATATAAATTTAAATATTAAATATTGATTATAGGGTTCATCGTTACAAACTGAACCGTGTGGTGAAAAACAAATGTCTGGCAATGAATGTGGTAAAATTGAACAACAAATTCAAAAATACAATAACACTTCAACTACCGGTTTTTTACCTGCACATGTTAGTGATGAACTGGGTGCTGAATGTCGATGTGGATGCGTTATTCACATGTCCAAAGCTACTCGAACATTATCTGCCACGACGAAGGGATGTCCTGGACGATCGTTTTGGTTAATAAAAGTATGATTAATATTGTTCAATGTTTTAAATTTTAATAGCTCGTATAATGTAATTTTTATGATTTTAATAATACCAATAATGTAGAAATGCCATATGAGGCGATTTATAGTTGGTAGTTACCATTATTTCGATATTTTTAGAATTTTTTGCACAATTATTGTTAACTGTATTTTATTTTTTAGCTGTATATTAACTTGTTTTACATTTTTTTTTATTTTAAACTAATAATATATTTTATTTAGGCTGAAGAAAAAACTACAATACAGTTTGATTTCATTCGACTGTTTTTATCATGCCCAAACCAATGGATTAAACTTCGCGATGGCGATTCAACAGCTTCTAATCTTTTAGCACATTTAGAAGGCACTCCAGATTCTATAAATCCAATTATGTCAACTGGATCCTACCTACTAGTGGAATTCTTTTCAAGTATAACTGTACTAACAAATGGTGATTGCTTCGGAGGATTTTTTGCTCAAATAAATCGCATTGGTTTGTTTTAAAATAATGTTTGATGTTATTTTTATATCCAAATGTTATAATATAAAAGTATATATTTGTTTACATAGGAGCCAATAACTGGTCTTTACCAAATTCAAGCCATGTAGAATTCAATAACAACCTTATTTATTTAATATCAGATATCGATTCGTTTTTAGCTACAATTTCAGCAATTTTATTATTTTTGCTGGTTACTTGTATGTGTTTTTCCTTGCAATTTGCTGAACGAAAACACAAATACCATAAAGCTATTAATACAATGGACAAACATTCTAATAGTACGTAAATAAATTATTAAATATTTTTTATTATAATATAATATTATAAAAATGTTTATTTTTAGTGGGTTCAACTTGCAGTATGTTAAACGATAATGAATATATGGCATCAACTACTACTTTACAATCGCATGTACCACCAATTCTAGAAATTTTAGATACTGATAAAAGCCAATACGATGTGGTTGAAGAAGAAACAATTTCTGTGATAGGGTAAATTTTACTATTATTTTTTTTGTATTTTATACTGCTATAATTGAATAATTTTTTCAAAATAATATATTTTTAACAATGGAAAATGATACGTGATCTAACATATTTTGTTTAGAAGTGAAAATGTACAAGAAGATAAGACCACATATTCACCAAAAATAGATCAATGTACACCTTTTGTATCTCAAACGTCGTTGTCTTCAAGGAAAATTGTTCGTATTCATATTATATTTCCTAAATCTATTAAAAATTACAAATATTATATTATTAAAATTGTTGTTGATTTTTATTTAGATTACTCAGTCGACATCCACTTTGAACGGTCGACCAAAAAGCCATAAACAAAATCCGTTGACTAGTAGCACAGATTCGAGCATCCACGGACACGATGTATCGGATTTAGAAATGGATTACTATGACTATAACGTCCAAAACACAAACAGTGTACCTGGATCGTATATAGGAATGGACCCGGCTTATTGTTTATGGATACCTCCTTTATCAGACCAAAGTCCCGGGGATCACCATGAAAATATGGAAATGTCCATTTTGGATATAAAAAATGACAAGTGCAAAAAGAATTGCGAAATTAGCAGCAAGTACAATAATAGGTTGTCTGCTGATAGTGAATCCACGCTAGTTAGCGAAGATTGTGTTTCATTAAAAACGCTAAAATCATCACCAAAAGCGTATTTTACTAAAAATAAACAAAAGGCTGAGTATATAAATGATTCGAGTATCAAGTTTGTTGATGAAGATGACGGAGTTGATACAAAAGACGTTTATGTAGATAATAAAGCAGCTTATACACATTAAATTTCGTTTATAAAAACCTTTGAAGTTGAATTATACACAACTATATGTATATTGTACTTAAATTAAGTTATTTAATAATTGAATTTTGAAAATATATCTTTCACTATATATTGTAATATTGATTTTAGAAGAACTACCTAGTTGTTTTATGTAGTAATAATACTTTTTTTTTTACAATGAATAGAGCAATACATTATTGTATTAGTGTTAAAAATGTTTAAATGTATACAGTATTATTGTAAAGTTGAAAAGGAGCAAATATTTTATGAAGACTTTTTTAAACTATTTTTTATATTAGTTAATACTATTTTGAAAAATCGTTTAATTTTTAATGATATGATATGTAATTTTGACTGATTAAAAAACATTTTAAAAGCAACAAAAGCCGTTATATTTATAATAATTAGATATTTTTAATTTTTAAAACAATAGATGAAATAAATAATTATATTTTTGATATTTATAGTAACCATTCAGTAAAAAACGAAGTTAATACATTTATCTAGATGTACTTTGTAGTGGTGTCAATGTGGAAACTGCAAGTTTTAATTTCTTTAATTTATACCAGAGTATGATAATAATTTGCATTTGGTTTTTTATTTCAGCAGTTGAATGCAGAGATATTAATGTAAGTTTCAAATGGTAAAATAAAATTTTAAGTACCTATGCATATCAGTGTTACTATTTCTGTTTTTACTTTTTTTCCCGAATAAACCTATAGTTCTTATAATGTCATAAGTTTTAGCGTTTACTGTTTCACTGCAATAGCAATAATGCTGATTTCGTTGTACCTATTCTTAATTTCAAAATTATTATAAACGCACTTAAACTTTTGTACTATCTTGAATAAGTATTGTTGCTGTTTGTATGATTATAATTAGTTGTTATTAGAGTATAATTATTACTTATATTTTTCATATTTATATATTTTATATTATTATAAAATATTATTATTGTTAATTATTTACTGTAGCTTTTACTATCATAGTGATGTGTCATGTGTGTAGTGTTAAAAAATCAATATTATATAACAGTATGAATAGGTAGGTACACCATAAATAACTCAATATTTAAAAAATTTGTTGAGTATAGTAAATTAGTAAATTATTACAATAGATATATATATTTTATTTAATGTTCCATCATGGCATCATGTTCTATTTTATTTCACAAAAATAATTTTGTTGAAAATTGCAAAGTATTTTTAAACAATTTTCATAAGAATAAATTATAGAGCTAATGAACTACAATTTGAGTGTAATAAACTAATGACTAATGATTAACGATTTATTTTGTTTAAAGATAAATAATTATACATTTCTGACAGCATTAAACATATATTTATATATATAGTCACCTGATTAATTCAGTAAATCTATGGCAATTACTATTTGAATATTGTTTCGTTGCTGCACTGCAGTTACTCTGATGTTAAGGCTCATCTTTGTTCTATAATATTTTTTGTTTCTAAATCTGTAAGTACATCTTATCTTACATCTGATGTATGGATCATTTAATTAGAAACGCATTCAAATTTATTCACGATGGATAGAAAAATAATTGATTCAATGTTTTATGGAAATGTAAATTACCATCATGAAGGTACATAATGAGTAATGATTTATATATACCTAATATAGAACGTATGCTCGTATATGTTTTTATCGTTTATTCATTTTTTTTTTTTTTCAATAAATTTTATTTAGAGATTAAGAATTATTAATTTATTAGGTATAGGATATAGACTAAACCTAGTAAAAGATAGGCACATACATAGTAGAAAATCTAGTTTATATATAATAACGGTCGTCGATCAATAATAATACTTTTTTAATAAGCAATAATTTATCAATAATTAATAAATAATATAAAACAAAACGTGTATTTAATCATTTGAAAAAAAAAAGATTACAAATGTTAAAAAAGTATAATAAATTTAATTAAATTATAATTATTAGTTTTAAATTTCGGCTATCTTCTATTCTTCTGATAATATAAAAAAAATAAATATATTATATTATGTTATAATAAATAAAAAACATATTTTATTTACATAATCTTAAGCGATAGCCCTAAACCTAGTACTTATATATAATTTGATTAAATTGATAGGTAATACACTTTTGGCGTTTATATTCAAACATTATTTTTATTAATTTATTTTTTTAAAACATAGAAATTATTAACTCACTGTTGTTTTTAAATTTTAATAATAAATAAATACGAATTTATGTAAATTGGAAATAAAATATAATTTACTGTAGTATCACATGCCTGTATATTGTGATGACAGTGTCGTGTTCAGGGGAAGAATTTTTAAGGACTAAATGGGGAATATATTTTTAATAATAGATACACTAAGTACACTAAGTAGTACTTGATGATTAATTTCTTTAATTATATATTACTAAACAATAAAACAAAATTCCTAAAGAAAAATTACAAATTTTCTTCATTTTGTTTTTAAAATATTTTGTGACTAAACAATAGACATTAATTGTTAAAGATTTTATAGTGGCGATAAAATTAAAGGATTTTTTTTTCTGAAATAAGTGAAAATAGAGACAATGGACTTTTGATGAATTATTATGAAAATAGCCTATACTGTAGTTAGTGCTATGTTTAGCAGTAAACAAGTAAAAATAAAAAAGGTTACAAAAGGTAGCTAAATATAATCTACCTTTGGACGATAAATTATCCAACACGACACTGCGTGTAGATGTTTACAATCTCCGAAATTTTCCTTTTTTTTTTCTAGTAGTATTTTAAAATTTAAATAGGAATAATTAATTAAGTATATGTCTATTTAGATATAAATGTTTAAAATATAAACTGCTGTGGCCACTGGCCCATTCTAAATTTTATTTTTTATGTGAATGGATTGAGTTATATTTGTATATTTTAATATTTATATTGTAATTCAGGTTCGTTCGAGGTACATACAATAAAAAAAAATAGCATTAATGTTCCAGATTGTTGTGGCTTTAATATGAATATTGGCACTAACATAGGACCTATGAACAAAAGGCAGCCTACAGATAAATACAGTTTATTAAAGCTATTAAAAAAAGATAACATTAAGTGTTTAAAATCATGGTATATTAAAAAAAAAAAGACTTTATTATCTTCTGAATTATTAAACATTCATGGTAAGTAAACCATGATATATTTTTTTCGAGAATCTGTATTAAAACAAGAAATGTTAGGTACCTATTATCTACATTTTTAACTATAAAATAATTTGTCAATTTTTGAAATTTCCATGCATTTTAAACTTAAAACATTTAAAAAAAATTGTGCCTACGTATTTTGATGTTTTTAAATAGTTACGAAAGCAAATTTATAAGGGATCAGCTTGTATACCAATGCAATTTAATCAATTTAAATCATTTTTTCATAATAGGAACAGGGATATTATTCATTATTGCCAATTTATAATATTTTTTTATATGCTTGCGAAGATAAGAATAGAAGAAATTAATAACAATTAAAACGCACATTGTATGAGTTATAGCAGGGCCGCAGAGGTCAACAAGTTTTTACTTTTCGAGTTCAGAAGATTAATATTATAAATAAATGAGGTTTTGATAAAAAAATAAATTTATATCTAATTTTAATGATAAATTAATAACATAATTTACTTGAGATATTTTGACGGCCCAGTTTTCTGCCTTCCGTAGTCTGTCAGTTGTCGACTGTTGCGATTGTACGAACAGAAAAGATAAAATGTATAAATAATTTATTTATAAGCTTAATAATTTAACTAGGTACTTTTAAAATTGAAATTCTAATTTCAAGATATGGTGATTTTAGATTTTAATATTTAAAAAATTAAGCAAGTGGATATTGCTTTGTAGTACATAATAGGTGTCAAGTGGAACTTGTCAATGAGTAAATTACTTTAATGGATTTTGCTAAAATTAAATTCGATTATGGGCTATCATTGTGTACAATGATTCTGATCGAAGACTATTTAAATGTTGGTAACCATGGTAAAAAATAATTATTTTAATAATAATAATATTGGATTTGTGTAAAAATCCTAGTTTTACCTTAATTTTTTGTTTGTTTTTCTCAATAATAAAAAAAGTACTGGATATTTTTAATTTTATCCTTTTTAAAATTCAAACTTGGCTTAATACAAAACTTTTCTTTTAAATGATATTTACTGTTTTTAATACATTATGAAGTATCTAATATCTATAAGCTATAGTCTATACTTAGTAATATATCCACTTATCATTATAGAATGGACAATGATAAATTTAAATAGATTTAATATTAATCCTTTGCCATGATTGTACAAGCATGAAGGTTAACAAAATTGATTTAATATTTTAATGTGTTTTATGTAAATGTAGGTATTTAAACTGATTAAATTAAAAGTAGGTACCTACCTAAATGTTGTATATTATAAATTATAATATTATTTCTTAGTCCTAGTTAATATCATTATTCATTACTAACATTATATACTTTTAGTCCAAAATTAAAATATAATATATTAATTAATAATTTTATATTTGCACATATAAAATTGTTAGATTAATAAAGTTCATATTTTAAAATTATTTATTTATGTAATCATTTAGGTAATCTGTGTGATCAAAAAAACACCACAATTTCTGGAAAAATACATAATGCAGGTTTTATTAAAAAAATAATTAAAAAAAACTTAATCAAAACTACAAATGGCAAGTACCGTTTAATTTCACCACCAGCTAAACCAAAAACTAAAATAAATAAAAAGTTTTACACATTTTGGATGATAACTGGAGGATTTCCTCAGAAATTTAATGAATTGTAAGAACTTCAATAAATTCATCTTAATTAAATATTATGTTATTATAATTTATTAATTTTGTATATTTTAATAATAACACACTAAATAGATTATATTATGTAATACAATTTTATAGATTATAAATCAGTGTAAAAATTACAAGTACTTAAAATAATTGAAAAGTAAAGTAGTTACTAACATCATTTTTAATTTATTTACACAAGTGCAATGTATACTTAATTTATCATAATAAAGTTTAATTTTGCTACATATAGTCATATAGATTAAGATAAAATTTATCTAGGTTGGTAATGGTAAGAGAAGTATTTATTTGAGTGTTTAGATTTTAGTTTAAAGCAACTCTTGAACTATATAAATCAGAATAAAGGTTAGTTAAATTTTGCTTAAATAATAAAATAAAATATTAGCTCATATAATATTAATTAGAGGTACTTAAGCAAAAAATTATTTAGATAAATATATAATTATTGAACCAAAATGTCACATATAATTATTCATTAATTAATCTCTAATCACTTTTTCAATCACTCCAAGACTTCAGTCACATAACGTGTCTTGGATCTTTTTAACATACCTACCCTTTAATATTAGATTATTTATTATTCAATATATTTTTTCTTCTTTTTTAACCATTCTTTATTATTTAAATATGTATATTTGAATGATCAATTAATGATATCCTACCTATATATATATACATAACACCTTCATTGCTATTTATTTTTAATATTTACCTTTGTAAAAACCATAAATAATATTATTAAAAAATACAAGTTTAAAATTTCATAAAAAAAAAAAATAAATATATTTATTGATAATTGAAATATTTTATAATTAATTTATCTACATTTAACAATCTGTCTAGACACTACACCCAGTATCACTACACCCAAATTTTTCATTCCATGTTACATAGTGACTTAAATCTTCAGAAGATACACTAGGCATGACAATATTTAATGCAGACAGAAAATCTTGTAAATTAATTGGACGCACCTATATTATACATAAGTATTACATAGTCTGAGTTTTAAAATAAGATTTAGATAAACTTACTTGATCAGCTTCAATTTTGTTTATCATATCAAAAGTCATTGATCTGATAGGTCCAAGAGATGCTTCTTGGCACAGACTTTTCATATCTGCACCAGAATAACCATTACTTAAAGAAGCAATTTTTTCTAAATCATCATCAGATAAAACATGGTTTTCTGAATCTACTAACTTTTTAATCATATCTTTTCTAGCCTATAATCAAAATAAACGTAATTAAAATATTATTATTTTGATTAACATTAGTATCAATTACTTGTAGATCAGGCAATCGAATATAAAGTTTTTTTACAAGTCTTCTTCTAGCAGCTTCATCTAATTCTTGGGGTCTATTTGTTGCACCAATTATTAATATTCTATCATCATCACTTGTACCAGCTCCATCCTATAATATTTTAACGTTTAAATACTGAGATAAAAGTAAAAATTAAATTATGTACTTGCATATTATTAAATTATATAATAGAGTAAAATGAATAGTATTAACATACTATACAAAATAAATTATGAGCAACTATTGATATGGGCTGTCTGTTAATATAATAATGAACATATATGTGTTTGTATGTGTATGTTATTCATGTGCAAATACTCTCATCAATATATTACCTAACTTATCAATCTTCTCGCATAATTTTATTATTTTTGATTTGATCGACACAAAATATTCATATTACAAAATTATTTAATTCATATTATGTAACCTTATGCATTTTTCAATTTATGATTATTGTTAGTATATTTTGTTTTATATATTGCAAATAAAAACTTAAAATGTTTTATTTTTTTTTTTTGGAAAAAAATAGAATCTATAAATATTTACTGTAAGATTTGGGATAACATATGAATGACAGAGAAAAATTAACTTAAGAATAAACTTCTTAAAAGAATTCCTACTTGTATTTTTAAGGTAACAAGGAGGAATTTTTTGGCAATATGAATGAGGATAATATTTTACTAAATATGTTTAAATAATTCCTCAGATATTTGTAAAAATTTTTACTGAGAAATATAGCAAGATCATAAACTGAGAGTATGTTTGGGTCCCTACCGACAGTTTTGTTAGAGGTATATGTAGAGTAGCGTTAGTATGTGGCGAAGGATTTTAGATAAATAGTTTAAATTTTAATAATGTTTGAAATCTTGGTATCATCCGTGTTTAATTTAGTAAAACCACTTAGTTTTAATTATGGATTTGTTAATTATGGATTTGTTAATTATTAATTATTAGTTTAGTGCAGTGCTTCTCAAACTTATTGTTTTAGGCCCCCCCAAATTTAATGTGAAACTATTAAGGCTCCCTTAATCAAAGTCATTAATTATTTTTTTTTAATTATAAATTAAAATGACATAATAACTAAATAATCAAAAATATTTAAAAAAAAAAAATAAAAATTTCACGACCCACCAGTCAAGCTAAGGCTTCTAGGCAGCCGTGGCCTCCAATTTGAGAAGCACTGATTTAGTGTATAAGTTAGTTTTTGTACATATAATTAGATAAAAAATAAAAAATAATGTTCATACTAGTTGGATAAGAAACTCAGTTTTAATTTTTCTAGAACTATCATGTTCTTGTTCGTTTCTTTGACATAATAATGAATCAATTTCATCAATAAAAATGACTGCTGGCTGATGACATCTATTTATAATAAAATTATAATTTTTTTATTGTTTTATTTATGAGATTAATAAAAAAAAAAATGACAATAATAATACCTTGCTACTGCAAATAAAGCTCTTACAGATTTCTCTCCTTCCCCAATCCATTTAGATGTAATAGTTGATGCACTTATACTGAAAAATGTTGAGTTGGATTGAGAAGCAATACATTTACCTAAAGTATACATGTCACATTTTTAAAAATATTTTAGTAGATTATGATTATTACATTACCAATTAAAGTTTTTCCAGTGCCAGGTGGACCAAAAAGTAATATACCTTTAGGTGGTCTTCGAATTCCCTTGAATATATCTGGTCTTAAAAGAGGCCAAATTACAGATTCCTTAAACCAAAATGTATAATTAAACAAAATTAATTAAAATAAATAATATTATGTATGATATACTTGTATAGTATTCTTAGCAAACTGTAATCCAGATATGTCATCCCATGTTATTAGATTTTTACATTCAATTATTTCATTTCTAATCATTTCAACCATTTTAGGATCAATATTTCTTAAATATGGATTTTCATCAATAGTTGATTCATTTCTTATTTCATCTTTTCTGTAGAGATTTAAGAAAAAAGTTGTATTAAATAACATAATATTTTGTTGCATTTTATTCCATACAATATTATTACTTTTCACTGTACAATATGTTCTGTTAAGAATAAATATAAATATAGGTAATTTACTTTTGATTATCAATTGACGGATTTATAAATTTGCTAACAACACTACGGGATTTATTGACACCCAAAGATTTTTTAATAAATGTTTCTGAAGTATTAGAATTAACATTGTTTTGTTTTTTAACTTGAATATGCTAGAAATCAAAAGTTGATTTAAATTTAACTTTTATATGCTTAAGTAGTATTTCTTATAATTTAACTAACCAATTCTGTTTTTGCAGTATGAAAACCATTAAATTGAGATTGATTACTATAGGAAGGTTCTTCACGTTTATTTTTTATGTTTGGCTGTATGTGTGGAGGTGAATCTTCATCATAATTACTAGAATTAAATATATGTTTAAATAAAATGTCAAAGTAAACAATACATACCACATGATTAAATAATTTATTTAGTCATGATAAATTCTAAATAAATGCATGTATACTATGTAGCCAAGTAGGCTTATGAATTTCATAAAATACCTTCTTTTTCTATTATTAATAGGTGTTGTATGATTATCAATCTGAAATGCCTGAGTATCTGAAAAAAATATTACATTTAATAATTCATTTTTATAAAAAATATGATTTGATAAGTGATTATTACTTGATCCATTTTTTAATGAATTTGTTTGAATTATATGATTGCTAGAAATATTTGTGTTTTGAGTAACATAGTTTTTATTTGGAAAACTCAAGTAAAATTCGTTGCTTGGTTCAATTTTACAGTTATAAAGATCTGGACATTTAATTGATTTTTTAAAATCATTAACAGGTGTTGTTACATCAAACTTGGTCTTCATCTTCCAAGTTTTTACATCTATATAAAAAAATTGATGAAAAAATATTAAGTAGTTTGGAACAAATTCACTTCAGTTATCATGAGGCTTTTTTTCTTTCTTTAAACATCAGATAGAGATATTTTAGTTTTCAAAAACAATTACTTTAACCATCCAAGTATATAATGCAATAATATTATTAAAAAAAAATCATGTATTAACCAAAGTGAATTAATGCTAAATGGTATGTTAATTTGTTGATTTTCATTGATTAAATGAATACGGTTACTTATAATAATACATACATTTATAACTTAGTATGATATATGATATAAAATTTTAAATGTTTATAGATAATTTATTAAGGAATTTTTTTTTTGCAAAAAATTAAAAAAAAAACTAACAAATATTTAATATACAGTTTATTTAAGTACATACTGTTAATTCCTAAGGTCAATTTATCAATAGCGGGTATATAATTATTGACACCTTTTTTATTGTCAATAAGATTTGAGTAAGATTTTAATTCAGATCGCATGTGGCTCCATATCCAATCAGTTTCTTTTCTTAAAAAATAATAATATAATTTAATACATTTATATTATAAATTTAAAGATTAGACTGAATATTATTTGATATCAACACAAAATTTTAATATTTTAAGTTTAACTTACACATTATATATTAAATATGCACATTTCTTATATAAAAGCACTTACAAAGAGTTAGCCAAGGAATATGCTTGGTACAAGCATTTTCTTTTTGAATTAGCCGTTTTTGAATCGTTGTTTAGATCTTCATCAAACTTGCTGTGCAAATAAACATCTCTAAATTTGTTTACCATCTCGCTTACGTCGTCGGACATGACGTTTAAGATCTCGCAACAAGTCTCAACAATAAATAAAAAAATTCTAAGTTCTAATATTTAAGCCCGAAAATATTTTATGTTAACCACAGCAATCGAATATTGGCCAAATGGGTATTTAATAATCAAAATAGTTCTCTTATTTGTTAAATTTTATCATGATTCATGAGCCATTGTTTTTGCAACTTGAAACCATAAATCATAATCACAGACATACAAATCTTTTCTTTCATTATGAGTAGGAAATACTATCATAAATGGTTCTATCTTACTCACAACATTAATTTCTTTTAAGACACTGATGGCATATTGGCGGGAATTTCATATTATTATTACTATTATTATCATATGCGATTTTACTGCTGTCGAATCCGTTGAGTTGGTAACAACGGTCAGGCGGCTTCAGCGTTGCCAATATGCCGGTGAAATGCGTGGGGACATGTTTCTATTTTCAATTTTCATTGTTTCATAGTTCCCTACCACCAACTACTCGGAGCGCGTCACAGTGACAGTGTTGTTATTATAGCAGTCGTATGCGGTTACCGACGACGTCCAACTGTTCGAGTGGTGTTTTTTATAACTACACTGTCTACCACGGTGTACCACTACTTCTACTACCGTCGATTGCCGCTGACCCTACAACAACTACTGTCTACTACCAATACTTTGGTATTGTGTAATCCTCGTGTGAGGCTTTTCGTTTGTTTGTGGAAACTGGAAGTGTTCGCGTGTAGTGCAAGGAAGAATACGTTAATAAATTAATTCGCACGCAAAACGCTGTGCGTTAAGGATCCTGGTGTTGCCATTGAGGAGATTTCTTTTGTCGCGCGGACTACGCGGAGGTGGACGACGATCAGGACGAAGAGGAGGACGACGCCAACGAAGTCCTAACGCCGCGGCAACTACAGCTCTACCGGCGGAGCATCTTTTCTCGACAATTTACTGTACACACTTGCCAAGATGGCTGACAATTGCTGCATTTCGCAGAATGACAATTTTATTTGTGGTGTTGTTGAAGGTATGTTTTTTATTCTTTTTTAACCATACTTTATACTTATCGGATGTCCTCGTTGCTATTATTTAACCCCATGTCCGTGCGTGCGAGATCGGGTCTTCGGGTGTCGCGCGATCATTGTTATATGGTATTTATAGGTATTACACTATTACGTCGTCGAATATTTGATTTTTACCTCTGTGTGTATGCGTGTTTGTGTGATTAGTGTTTACTGTGTGGGTGTGCCTTTATAGGATATTGAGACCGCAAACTCGTGTCATAGATATTTCTATATTGTATGATTTAGGCAGTTTGGCTATCTGAACTGTAAAAACGCGACAGTGACACCCTCTCTCACTTCTCTCTTCGAGATTTTGATCCCCCGGTTTGTAGTTTCTTCCTGTAGGCCTACGATATCGATTTCGGGGAGGGGGGGCATAAATCATAGTATCTAGTATTATGTAATTGATCATAAAAATGTTCATGTTATTATTTTGATCGGACGACGTTTAGCGTTTTCTGTTTTCTGTTTATTTTTTTTAACGTGTTTACGAGACCGCTAAAAAAAAAAAATCAATCAACTGATTAATGATTTCACAGTCTTTAATTCATGATTAAATTATAGTTTGTTTTCTTGTTGGTTTTCACATTAAATGTGTTTTTTTTCAAAACTAATTTTTTTTATGCATATTTAAATAACTATCTAACCTATAAAAATGGTAACCTAACACAACTGCACACAACTTCTATTTATTTATGCAACTGAATAAACAGTTGAAGTTCACACAAATCACAAATTTATGTGCTTAAATGTATTATCTATATTGTGCTTGGAGTGTTATGTAAAGCACTAGAAGTTTTTTACATTTTTATTGCACCTTTAATTGTTGACGATGATTGATCACTACTCACTTATTGATCATTTTTTAATTTTGATATAATGCTTTTTACATTAGTGATCTTTGTTTAACATGAAAATTACTTTGGTAATTATTTATATTTATTTTCACAACACATCATGTATTATTAACCATAAAAAAAATAAAAAAAAACTTAAATCATTATTAGTGATATTGTATCAAAACTACTAGGTGATATTTTTTTTTTGTATGCTGAAATTTATATAAAGTACATATAGGTCCAGAATTTGCTTGCTTACTTGGAAAGTTTAAATCACATCCTTGGATAATTTGTTATGTTAAACATTTTTGGACAGATCCACAAAACTGTAAAAACGATAAGCTTTAAATAGTTATTACATTAAAGTTTATTTTTGTGAAATTCTTCTTTGTGATTATTTAATATGTATAAATACTTAAGTTGACAGATACAAAATGTAGAAAAAATGATTGGCTATAAAGTAGCTATATTATAGGAAGTATTGGTTATTTTTTAATAGTAGTATTGTAGTATTTAAATAAGTACACATACAGGGTCTGGCAATAAAACTTCTATTTCAAAAATTAGTTAAAAGTAAAGAAAAAAATCTTTTTATTTTTGATAAATTGCATTCTCCTTTTTATGACTAACAAAATGTAGGAAGTTGTTTTGCTGAACCTTATTAAGGAGATGTGATTTTATTTAGCTAATAATTATGTTAGACATGTAGAATCATTGTGGAAAAATATTAAATTCAATTTAAGTTAAAGTATTTAGGTATACCAAGAACCATAAGCTATCATAATAATATATAAAACTAATAACTTGGTCCTTGTACTATAACTATTATGAATCATAATAGTTAATATTAATAAAACAAAGGATCATTAAATTTTGTAATGGCAATTTCCTATTTTAATTTTCAGTCAAAATCTGCTAAGTAAAATAATTTTACTTAAATCTGTTTTAAATTGGTAATTGATAAATTTTTTAGTTTTTTCTCGTTATGTATTTTTAAACATTATTCTGGCGTTAGTATCTGCTGTCACGTATTTTAATCAGTTGTTTTGTTTTTAGTGCCAAAACATAAGTTTTTTATAATATTTAATTATACAATATATAATTTTAAACATGATAAATTTCAAACCTACCAAAATTTATATACATATATTTTTAATGTCAATTATTAATCTATGTTTTTTCTGTTTATAACCTTGAATTGAGTGAGGGTTGTTTTCATATTTATTCTCTTAAATTATTGGTCAACATAAAAAAATAAAATATAGAAATTATGTTTTAACAATAAAAACATACTTATTTATCTTGTATTTGGTTAACTGAAGATGATATTTGATAATGCTTTATGAAACTTCTTTTTTAATTTTGAAAATTTATCAAGATTTAATTTTTGTAACTTCTATAATATATTAACATCAAGTATTTAAGTAGTATATTTAAAACAAATAAAATTTTAATTTAATAATATTTGTTTTAGGATTTTATGGAAGACCATGGACTACTGAACAACGTAAAGACTTGTTTCAAAAGTGAGTAGTTTTCCAAGCTGTTTTGTTATAATTCGCTTTGCAAGCTAATTGTGTTTACCTTTATCTTATCTAGTATAAGTAGGTCTACCATAACTCCTTTTTTCATTAGAAATATATACATTTATAAAATTAAGTGATAATTTAGAATAACATCTCTTCAAAACGCTTTTGAAAAACTATAAATTTTAATTTAAATCCTTATGGACAAACAAATCACTAAACTAGTGTCCTTTTAAACTGTTCCTTGGATTTATTGTGAATTTATTGAATTAGATATATATATATTTAAATAATTTCTATTTTTAAGAAGTAACATTTGTATATCATACAATTATTTGTTAGACTTTGATTTATAAGACAAAAAATGGCTGTTGTCAACATGAATAGTTTAATGAATGGGAAAGACTCGCGGTGGCTTCAACTAGAAGTATGTCGTGAATTTCAACGTAATAAATGTTCACGTAGTGATACAGAATGTAAATTTGCTCATCCAGCTGCTAATGTGGATGTCCAAAATGGCAAAGTAACTGCTTGTTATGATAGCATTAAAGGACGGTGTAATAGAACAAAACCGCCTTGCAAATATTTTCATCCTCCACAACATTTAAAAGATCAACTTTTAATTAATGGAAGAAATCATTTGGCTCTCAAAAATGCCTTAGTGCAGCAAATGGGTTTAGTGGCTAATCAACCAATGGTTCCAGGACAAGTTTCTGCTCCCATGGCAAATCCAGCTTACTTAGCTCAGCTACCCAGTACTCAGATTGGAAATGCATTCAACCCATATTTTAGTCATACCAATCCACTTGTGAATCCTTTGTCACAATTTTTTGCTCCCAACCCTAATAACTTGACAATGGCAATGCAACAAACAGTTGTACAACAAAATTTACAGCCACCAGAACGTTTAGATATGGACTTAAGTAAGATCTCTCCTTTTTACTACGAGAATTTGTCATTGCCTGGCTTAATGCCTTTTAAAAGACCTTCAGGTGATAAAGCAGGGTTACCAATGTTTCAACCAAGTGCAAGTGCAGCTGCAGCAGCTTACCAACAACTATTTCAATTTGTACCACAACAAGCTGACTATCCTCCTACATCATCTGCAGCAGCTTTATCTGTCATGCCAAAACCTCAATCTCAGACAGTAGCACAACAACAACAACAACAACAACAACAGCAGCAGCAAACTCAACAGTCTATAGCCCCTCAAAAATCTCAGACTCCAGAATTACCTGCAACTCAAACTCAGTTACAGTCGCAACAACTTGCTGCATTTCATCAATTACTTGCTATGTCTCCCCAACAACAATTACAACAGCAACAAATACAACAACAACAACTGCAACAACAACAATCATTACAACAGCAACACCAATCTTTACAACAGCAACATCAACAACAACAAGCTCAATTAGCTCAAGCTCAAAACCAAGCTCATTTAGTTCAATCACAGGCCCAAGTACAGAATCAATTACAGGATCCTAATCAACAAGCTCAATTGCAACAACATCAAGCATTTGCAGCAGTATTTAACCAATTGATTGCTATGCGACCACCACCTCCACCATTAGCGTTCCAAGCTCCGCAACTCGCACCTAATCCAAATTTGATGACATCTCCATCTATGAAACAATTTATTGCAGCACAAATACAACATCATATACATAATACTAATTTAAATGGTAATTTAAATCCAGCTGCTATTAATGGTAATATTAATACCAAGAGTGATGAAGAGGTTCAACAACCATTTAAGAAAATGAAAACAGCTTGACAATTTTGGACTTTTCATTCTTAATAATTAATTTAATAGAATCATTGAAATTTGCTTATTT